CTTATAGCCCTTTGGCCATTTTAGCTCTATATCCATCATCTATGAATATTAACGTATAAAGTTCTTACAATACTTCTTATAAAAATAGAATCATCTGTCATATACAATTAACTAAATTATTGTTTTTTTAAAAAACAATGAGAACAATCAACCAATCAAAAAAAGGTTCTAGTTTTGTCATTATTAATAAATTTTATCATTTTGTACTTCTCCATCCTTTACTAACTGATCGGATCGCAAATGTTAATCGAATAATCTAACATATTTACTAAACTAATAAATATATTAATTTTATTTTTATCATAATTAATCTAGTTATTTGAATGATATGATAAATTACTACATTAATTTGTGTTATTATAAGTATAGAAGATTGGTGTAAGGTGTAGCCCCCGAATGCCCTGGTACGACCAAGAGTGGGGAGAGTCCGCTCTCCCTCTCGAAATACTCTCACACGGCCACGCGTATACAGCCTCTGCCAGGGAAGTCCTACTCACTGCCTTCTCGCACCACGGGTGTTGTTTACGAAAATGAGAGGACGAGAAGCGAATGTCCGGCGCTTTAACCGGATCCCAAGCCAATGGTGTACATGGGCTCCATTATCCTGCGGGAACAAATGGCGTATGAACCAACCGTTGGCCACCGGCTACCATGGGACTGCATTTCCTCACGATGCTCCACTGCCTTGTGGGTTAGACCTTTAGGTCAAAGGCTAGTAGTGTGGCCCCCTAAGATAACCACCTGCTTCGGTTTGGGCACCCGGGCAGTATCATAGCCCACACGCAAATGATGAACTCTCTATATCTATAAGTATAGAAGATTTATTAAGATTAATTATTTTGTAAATCATATCTTATGATTAATTGACATAAACTGAGATTTAGAGCAGTGAACATAGGTTATGTCATAGTTCGTTATTCATCAGTAATATATATTTACAATCCTGTATGATTTCAGTCCCTAGAACTTTTAGTCTCATGAAAAGACAGAACCACTGGATAAATTAGTTAGTACATAGTATAGAAGATAGTAGAGATTATTAAATCTTATAGTTTACATCGCAAACTAATACTAGTTAGACAACCAATAAAAAACCAGAATGTACTGGGAAATTGTCTCGTTTTCTTCTTCCAAGCAAAGATCTTTAACCAAGACGATAAAAATAGCCTTGTATGATGCAGTGATTCTCTAAAATCTTAGCCAGTTATCGAAATAAATAACATCAAGCTTGTACCTTACCTACAACGATGATCACATCAGAAATTTGAAAGTCAAACTTTATCAACTAACCCGGACAATGTTTAAATTAAAATACATCAGTGAACTGTTACATTCTGAAACGTTCAATAAGTCATCAACATAGATTATCTAAACAAGTTAATATTAAACCGTCTATGAGTAGTATGCATAGCGATAACCTATAAAACTATGACATTTTCTTGTATTTTAAGAAAATTTTCTAACAAAAATGTAAACGATTGATATAATTGCATGATTCACATACATTTTTGCCAATTTTAATATAGTCTCACTCAAAATAGTCTAAATAATTTTAAAAATAATCAAACATTCATCGTACTCATAACTTATCTACATTTCGTTAAAAATAAGAGAAATTTATCATCTAGGGAAATGAGAGAATATAATCGATTATAATTTACTATACACATGATGCATTTTTTGTTAATATGTTGGAGAAAATATTCAATCATCAACAATAACTGTTGTTATGACAACAGACAATTAACTTTTTTTTCCAAATTAGCACAGGTAAATAAGTTTGCATTATTAAACAATAGTTAATTAATAAATGTCAGTAATAAATGTTGAACAGTTTATTTACTGTAAGTTCCTAGAATTGTAAAGTGAAACCGATATACAAATATATATATATAGTTAGTTAGTTAGTAATATAATTCAAAAGTTACCTCCAATTTCCTCGTTCATTCAAATAGGTAGGAAGAACTCAAAAGTTTTTAATTGATTAAAAAAATAAAATGCTATTGTAAACAATCTATCCATTTATCATTAGCGGATAAACAAGTATATATTTCTCTCCTATATTAATTCTCGATATACATTATCTTATATCCAGTCCAAAAGTACCAGAGACTGAATGATTAAATAAAAGGCATATTACATGAGGCAAATAAATGACTTTAACGAAAGTCAACTATAATAACAAATCTGACCAACTCATTTCATACACAAATACCTTTTGCACGCACATTATTATTATTATGCTTTTCTATTCAACAAAAACTGCACTTAAGTTTATATATTTTTTGAAGTGTATTGTTAGTTTATATAAATGTCCTTTAAGCACGCTTATTTGTTAATTTAGAAAAATTTAATTGTCTGTTGTCATAACAACAGTTATTGTTGATGATTGAATATTTTCTCCAACATATTAACAAAAAATGCATCATGTGTATAGTAAATTATAATGCATTATATTCTCTCATTTCCCTAGATGATAAATTTCTCTTATTTTTAACGAAATGTAGATAAGTTATGAGTACGATGAATGTTTGATTATTTTTAAAATTATTTAGACTATTTTGAGTGAGACTATATTAAAATTGGCAATAGGTTTTTCCACATAAAAGCAATAAGACTAATGTTTACTGGTACTACATTCTTAAAATAAAATAATCAACAAAACTATCATTGTATGTAAACAAGTACTGAATTTCTTATAATACTCTTGAATATTACAATTTCACGACAGAATCACAGACAACTTGACGGGATTCACAAAAAAAAATAACATTTACATGAAAACGACCCAGTTCAAATAATTTCAGTGCAAAGTTTTAATCAGATTACAAGCTTACGCTTCAAAATAGTTTAAAGAACTACTAGATGTGACCGTTTTTATCAGTAGAGATGTGTGTCCATCGACTTAGCATATATTAGTTGCATACCGTTCAACTGGATGCTAGTTTTTCATTCACAGAGTTACTTTTATTTTTATAATATCGCTGTCATCTTGAATATTCACAGTGCTTAATTCTATTAATTTCCCTACACTTCTGTAAAACTTATGGCTGACAAACGTTCTGAAACTTGTTGATGCACATAATTAACATACTAATACATTATAATGTAGTCACAAACAGATAATGAAAATCATGAAAATACTATTATCAATTTTAATCAAATTACGTTCATCAAGCAATCTTTCAACTTTTAAATTTACTACGAGTACCTTATTTCACAGAATAATTAAAAATACCTGATACTTCATAAGTGTTTTTCAATTTGTCTTCACTAAGAATATCCTCAAGAATAAATAATTTAACAAATTTATAACAGATTGTAATACCAAAGTATGTACTTTATTAAGCAATGTGACCTACTTGATTATATAGTAAATTAATCCTTACTTGTAGGAGAAATACGAACAGACATATAAAAGATAAATCAAAGTATTTTAAAAGCTAAAATCATTTATTAACACTTAAAATTGGGAACAACTTATGAAAATGAACTCCATATGTCTTTCATGATGATTTCTGTCAAATCAATAGCATCACCCGCAATGAGTCAGTCAGTTACAACGTAGGACCAGGCACATATATGCCAAATCTCATTAGCACAACATGAACACCAAATTCATAGTAGTCACTTTAATGGTAGTAGTATATAAAAGGAAGATTGTGTATAAAGATATAACACAGGAAGAATTAGTTCGTAGAAAGAAAGGTAAAGAGTAATTTTAATTTCACCTGCAACGAACAATTTAGTTAATCTAGAAAGTTTACTTTTACATTAACAAAACGCAGCTTTTGAAATGAAATACAGGTAACGATGAAAATCTCACTTTACACTAGTAATTTATGAACTACCTGGGTTGCAGGAGAAATCAAAAGTATTTAATCATGAAAGAACAAGGGATTGCCACTTCTTGGTTCCATCCCAATATCAAAGAGTACGCAGTAATAGATCTTTGTCACGAGAAACTTTCTTCACTAGCAACACCAAGCTATCACTATCTCAGATTTAATGAAGGTTCACACCAATAGGTTCTATTAGTCAAAAATTGATCTGTTAGAATACCATCGAAAGAACCAGGGAGCACTGGACATCTGTTTTATGCTAACATAAGACAGCAGTACGTATTCGTAACCTCTAGAGCTCAAAGCGTACATTTAGACTACAGATAACTGAATTGGTATCCAGTGGTTTACATTTCTAATTTTAGTCATCTCTAAACTCCATGACTTCTTACTAAAACTTTTTTTAAGTAGGTCGCTAGTGAGCTAAATATTATAGTTGAATGGTTTCATGAAGACTGATCAAATTTTTTGGTTGTGTTCATCCTAGATTGATTTATGCTGAGGATTTCGTACTAGAACGAAATGCCTATCTAGTGCTTTGTGAAAATTACCAACTAACAAATCAAACTAATCTAAAAAAAAAACCATTTAACTAAATCAATAACGTCAATCAACTATGAACAATCAAAGCTTAGTACAATTCATTTGGTTAAAAAAATGATACAATACTAAGGAGCTTTCGCCTAACTAGAAATCTATTGCTTCAACTCTATATCGATGTTACGTACAAAATAAACCAAAAAACCCCAAATTAACATGCAAGTTTAAATAAACTCATTAAGAAATAAAAACAGATACACTCCTATAAACTACTATATACTAAAAATGTATTCTCCTTTTTTGTTATATTAAACAATTGAACAAAGGAAAATATTATTAATTGAATATTAACAAGGTAAAAAAAATTTTAAAGAGGAAATTTTGTGAATAAAGGCAAAGAAAAAGAAATGTGCATGTATATACTTTTAAGAGATATAGAATGTTAAATTAACAGTCTTTATATAATTTCTGGTTAGCGTTAGTCTTTATATAATAGTCCAAAATAATAATATTAACAATGATAATAGTAATAATTCATTGGGCGTGTTAATAATAATAGTAATCTAAATCTCTATCTATCATGGAAATGCATTCATAAGTGACTAGGAGATAAATGAATAATAATAATAATAATAATAATAATAATAATAATAATAATAATAATATGAAAAGTATAAGGAGATAGGTATAAAGAAAAGAAAAGAGAAATACGAAAGGGAAATAATAAAAAAAGAACAATGGAATTTAATACGAATAAATCCTTAAGGAAAAAGATATTTGCATAAACTAATAATTCATTTCCTTTTTTTTAAAAAAATCATTGTGTATAACAATTTAAATGCATATTTTATTGGAAAAGATAAAATCATAATATTCAAGGGAAGATATAGTGCATTATGATATGCAAAGCGTATAATTGTGTATGAAGTCGGATGAAGAAATTTATAATTATATGAATAATTTCTATTTATACAGATAAGAATGAGTAGTGAGCCGACAGTACTATATATAACATTTGAGGATCATAATAATATGAGGAAACCATTGGAGAGAAAAAATGCACTATGAGCATCAATCAATGTTGAAATATTATGTCGAATGAATGATGATAATATGAAAACCATCTGAAAGATAATTACGTAATAAATAACATAATCTGTAAAATACATAATAATGAAATAAGAAAATTGCTACTGTATAGTGGATAATATTTTGAGAAAAGGAAAAAAATAAAAACAAAGTTCCATCATAGAAAGCGTATGTGTATGTGAAAATACATTGGATTTTGTGTATAATGGTTTAATACAATGATGATGGAATTTCGAAATGTTGTCCTAGTGACGATCACCTCGTTGTCGTAATAACCTGGAAAGGAAGGCAAGAAAATGTCAAAAAATAGAAAACAATAAATAGCATGGAGCTAGGTGAACCATAAGCCATTATGATGTACCTCGTTTGTAGTATATCCCGGATATTGTTTCCTGATATTATCACATAACGCGAAGAAATCAGTACTGATTATAATCATGATTACAAATTCCCTAGTATATGTAGCCAGGATCGCGTAGAGTATACTGATTTTATTGAACTACTGTCAAAACAGTTAAATTTCAGCACACGTTCCATTCACAATATCTATGTGATAGGATGTTACTTGAAAATGTAAAAGCTCATGTCTATACAGCTTAAACCAAATTCAACGATGAGGACAGTTTCACTAAAGATAAAAGTCCTGAGGTAAGAATCAATGATATACACAAACTTCTGGATCTCAATGAAAAGATGAAAAACAAATACAATATGATTACCAGCGAATAAAAAGGGTGTTTTATTATTGCGTAGGTAGAGGTTCAAATGGGAAACTGGAAAGTGACCACCTAAGGAACCATCCACTTCAACTTTGACACATAAAATAAGACGCGTTTCCGAAAAAGTAGCGACATTCTTCTGTTCTTAAAAAGGTTTGAAATATTAAACTATAACATATAGATTTCTAAGCATGTCTATTTCATCTTAAGTTTTATGCCCATCCTGTTATAGTTCCATATAGTCTACAGTATTTTTTAGCAAAAAGAAAGGATTATGATGAAAAAATACATATGCAAAGCTTCACCATTTAACCTATTATTTAACGTAATAGTATCTTGTGTTAATAAATATAATTTGTGTACTAGGAACAATCGGAATATAGTGGTTTGTTATTGTTTTGGTTTAGAGAATGTAGTGTAAATTAAGAAAACAAAATGATAACCAAGTGATCAAAAACAAATCAAATGTCAACTATACATAATTCTTATAATTATGGAATTACCTTATCAAGAACAGATTTCTATACATAGCTTTGATTCACATGGTTTGTGTAGGAACTAATTATATTAAATGGTTAATAAAACTGGAATAGGAGAGATTCTGCAGATCACCAAATTATTGTTGCATAAATAAAACTTCAATGTAAAATTAAGAACATTTTAACTGGAACAAGATTATTTAGACATATAAACATTGGTACAGAGATGCACCAAATAGATAAGCGCCACACAAATCGAAAGATTCGTGTGAGGGCTGGAATACTGACCGGACGCGCAAACCAAAGCAGGAGCAGACTAGGCATTATTATACACATTAACATGTAAGCGACATGTTTGTAGAAACATTAATCTTATAGTAACATGAAAATCTACTTTAAAGCAGACAAAAGTACAGATTATAAATGATCGGATTTTAACGAATGCGAAGGAACTAAAAAGTAATTATATGGATTGATTTTTTAAGTCCCATTTTAATTCTCTTAAAAAGTGTTTTCATTGACATAGTAAATCTCTAAAAAACTCCGTATTCCTAAAATTTATTAATCCAGGTTTTTCAAGAAAGGTTCGTATAATCTCCCTAGATGTAATTGTTTTAAGAAAACTGGTTACACTAATACGACAAGTAAACTAATAAAAACTTGCCAATTCCGTGTTTTCCATACTATTAAATTCAATATTACAACCGAAAACTATGTATTACTATGTTTCTACTTCGATTGAAATGGAAGTAAAACTTAAAGAATAGGAGTCATGCATCTACTAACCATTTATTTATCCTACTTGCAACTTTTGACAATTTCCATAACTTGAGGGTAAGACTAAATACAATGAGGAGCAACAAACCAAAATAAGAATTTGTAGATAACCAGATGACTACCACAGACAATATTTATTTGTGAAGATACACTTCATATCCACAAATGTTTCAAGATGCATGTAATCACTCAATTCTCTTCACGGTTAGAAATAATCTACCGATCAATGACCAGTAGTCTATAAAAGATACATCTGATTGCCTGGACCTCAGAAGCTGATGTAAGAAAATTAAAAAACAGCAACTTGAGTTGCTTATCATGACTGAACTTGAAATACTCATAGCAATGAAATGTAAAGTTTCTTATTGAAGTACGGTCGCTTCTAATTGAAAACGATTGGGTACGCTTTTTACACAAAAAGATTTATAGAGAGATGACTAGAATTTATTAACGCAAAACTTGATAATCTGAAGTTTACCTGGAAGGAGCCATAATCTATGAAATATTATTATTCAAACGAAACTTAAGTTTATAATTTCTGATTATCATTTAACTTCAATTCATTTGTGATGAAACATATGCATGCGCGCATATTAAGTTGCAGCATTTGAACAATCTTGGTCAAAGATGCACAAGGTTCTGAACTAATTTAATTGAGGGAAAAAAACATATCCAGCACCATATTATAAAAACAAGATATAACTAGAAAATAATTAGCTTTCAGGAATAAATTTACTCCTCAGTAAACAACTTACATATTCTCACTCGCTTCATCAATTTCATATGCTGCATTTGGCGTTTTGCTAAATGTGACCAAATTTTCTTCAGCTTCTTCTCGTTTAGTACGCTCACGGCGTTTTAATTCATAAATTAAAATAATTATGAACAAAACTACCACCTCTAGGATAATACCAATTAAAGGCCATAGAGGAGCACGACGATCTATATTGCAAACAAACAGTAAGCAGACACTTTAACATGATGTAGACGAAATTTGTTTATGCAGTTACATTGAATCTTTTTAAAACTTAAATAATTACTGTTGCTGACTATTATATGAAAATATAAGGTGTTTTATGATTATAAGCATCACAACTTCGAATCAAAATTATGACAACAATAGCAATTACATAATATCTAAACCGTCTGATTGATATAAAAACGTCATGTACTGAATGAAAGATAGGGTTCGATAATAACCTATTTTCGTGTTAGGTTCGACGTATAGTTGCAGAATACCAATTACTCAGAGTCATATCACGTCTACACATTTTACGAGAAGCCAATAATTAGAAACATGAGATGGTACGGTGAAGAATCGGTTGTAAGAATAACAATCTCATTGTGAAAACATTTACAACGATCTCATAAAATTATAAACTTACAGACAATTTATTATTGGACTGACTGACAAAATTTGAAATTTGATACATAATAATGTGATACATACAACTCTATGTAAGGGGGTCTTAGAAGTCAGTAAATTTTCCCAAAAGTGTATTGATTTTCGATTTCTACATGTCCTTATATTATGCTCTAATAATTTATGGAACTGTTGATAACAACCAATCTTAAAAACATAAAGTTTTGTCAGCTAGCAGATAGGCTTTAGGAACTACTACAACAGAGTTATCCAGAATACGTTCGAGCCTTATACACACTAAATCAGTTTTACTGTGACCACGTATATCTCTATATATAAGTTTCAATGAGCAACGGCTTAATCGATTGGAGTGGGACTGACATATGAAATTGATCGTCTGTGACATATAATCACATCTTGAGGAATGATTATGCAACTTAATCAAATAGCTATATCTGTCGGTTATAGATGCTTGACTGTAAGATATCGAATTTGTATTCACATAGTAAGTTATTGAGTAACTGATGTTAAATGCTACTGTTTCAAACTATACAAATCTGATTGTTAATTTAGCTGTAAATAAGGCTAATAAATTAGCCTTGTGTTTTCATTATGCAATGTTGGATTTAGGAGTTCAGTACAAAAAACAAGCCACTTAAGCATCCAACAAGCATAACAATTTACACATAACTAATTCGACAAACAGGAAATCCAAATTTATATCAGGTAGCTGATAACTTTACACTAACAGTTTACAGCTCAATACTGAACACTCAGAGAATACGCACAAGTATTTACAATTCGATGGGTAATACCAAAAGAACATTACTTATTTAACTAGTCTTATACTAGATGTTCAATGACTTTAATAGGTCTTAATGAAGTGAATAATTTTTATGCTTCCATCAATTATCCAAGTGAAAGATCAAGACAACCACCGATATAATGATAAATACATTGGGACAATACGAATGACGATTTACTAATCCTAATAACTTGTAATCATTAATATGAAATTTATTTTACTGAAGCGAAATAATAATGTTCAATAAAAATTTCCAAGTCATTCACAATGCATGATTCAAGAAATCTTAACAAAATGTTTAATTCACAGTTGTGATTAGAAGATAAAACTACAGTTTCAGACGAAAATAAATTAAACATAAGTTTGATAATTAAAAAAAATTACGGAAAACCAAAGATCTAATATATGATGTGAGTTTTTGCTCTTGATGAAATGAAAATAACAAATTACCAAGAAGCTTCGATAAGAATTCATCAACAATATTAAAATAGAACCGATCAAATTTACTACGTCAAAAAAGCGTTACAATGTTACAAATTAAATAGCAGTCAAAAATTAGGATTGAAAATAGCATATTCATACTGTTGAGAGAAGTCATGAAAACTGCAATTTTTTGTTAGGCTCATATATATATATATATATATATATTTTGAATTTAGACAACAGAACAATAATAGTGGATTTATTTTCCCATCTAAGACTGGTGTGAGGTATTGGTTGACTACATGCTATGAAATAAATATTTATCTAGATTAAAAAATTATACAAAATAGAAGATATTTGAGCGGACAATTGTTTTCAACAACTTCATTATTAGGTTATAGTTATAAGTCCATAATTATAATATCTTACAAAAGCCAAGGCATTCATTAATGAATTTGACAATGTTATGTGTTAAAAATGGTGAATGTTTGCATCTGTTACGACATATATACTCCAAAATGGTGTTATTTGTAAATTAGAAAGGTCAGAATGATTTGTAGTAAAATGTCAAGTCATAATCAGTATAATAGTAATGTAAAAAAATAAAAAATTGTGTGAGTAAAATGAATAATAGGAGAATTCCATCTTATTAATCGAGGTGATAATAATAATATCGCTGTATGAACATATGTAATGAGAGGTGATCCAGTCGTGGGCCAAGGTAAACATAGAGGCTAAATATAACTCTTCTGAACACATAAGTTCGATTTTCTGGAGTTGATCCAGATGGCTTCGGCTATATAGAGTAGCCGCAATCTAGCTCCTTGAAGTAGATTCTTTGGAACTTGATATAAAACAGAGAAAGCTTAATATGATGTTCACTATCTACCAAGTTCGAGTAGCTTTGCCAACTCGCGTCACTTATGATGTAGGCGAGATATCCATCATCCAACCAAAGGACGAGTTTTCTGCTCAACAGTTTTCTCCGTTCTACTTGATGGATGTGATACATAGCCTAATGGCTACGTGGAGTAGAGTATATTCATAAGTTACTAGTATTTGAAGCATTACTCGTGTATTTTGGGACCATAGCGTAAATAATGTTTGGGTTAAGAGTAGAGTACTAGGTAAAGACGGGGAATCAAATGATGATGTAGCAAATTTTCATCAATTGAGATGGCGGAGACATGTGTTACGCATGCCTAACCACCTCCTACCTTGACGGATGTCTTTCGGAACAGTAGTCATGAGAAACGATAGGAACAGCCAAACCCTGATATCTGTTCATGAAGTCACTGACAATCAGGTTGACTCATGTTAATAGGTACAGACTACCTGGTTGGGATCCGCGTGATTATCGTAACCAATGATTATAGACTTCGAATGACATGACTCAAAGTCATTTGCAATGGTGAAGGTGCATCCATTCTTTAGATTCCCATAAATACTGAAATTCTATATTCTTCATAAATTTATATTTTTATTTCGCCAATTTATATTTTCTTTTCGAGTCGCATCTTCAATGTCTAGTCTTTCCTATTACTACGGACATTGTTAATACCTCTATTATTCTGAGATTTGGCCTGACAACTTCATCTCTTTGTGTTAATAGGGTATGGAAACTTGAAAAAACGTACGCACGTACAGGTTTTACGTTGTGAATGACTGACTGCCGTGTATACAAGATAAGTCTAAGTAAAGAGTGGTCTCTTTAGAAAAACAATTATTAAAACTATAGAATTCAAACAGACTGGGCAGAGAATGTTTACGTACAAGCCATTCTCATGATTTGAAGATTTTAGATCTACATTCTGTACACTTTCATCACATATTCACAGACTGAATATACTGGTTTCTGACACATTAAATTCATATGAAAAATAAGAACTGAGTTCCTTACAGCATTTATCTGCAAAGAACAAACCTTTGAAGTGCAAAACCAAACAACCCCCTGTATATTCATGTCACTACAGTTCTCAGCAATACATACATCAAAATGTTAGGATAAACAAGAAAAATATGATGAAAAACGAGGAAAAAGAGTGAGAATAAGCTTTTAAAAAATATCACTAGTTAGAATACATTTCCAGACTATAAAATGTTCACTTAATGTTACACGTATTAGGAAAACATTACTGCCATGTATTTTTTGAATGATTAATATCTTATCGACAAACGAATCGAAACAGGCTACATTAATTCGTAAACAAAAAAACTTTGTTGATTGAATTCATATTGTCTTGTATTAGACATTTAACCATATAAAGTTGAATATTTCTATCAGAAAAATTTAGTTTGAAATAAAAACCAACCTTTTACTCGTAAAAAGAAAGCTGCTGTATCATTTCCAAATGCTCCACGAACAAAACATGAATAGACAGCTCTATCATCTGGTTGTATTGTATCGAATACAATTTGATCATTGAGGACGTTTTTGCTTTCAAAATGTATACGATTTTCAGAATTATCATGAACAGAAATTCGACCATTATGTTGGATTACTAGAGGAACATCGTTCCTCATCCATGAAATAGGTTCAGTGATTGGTGGGTAGGCAATAATATCACAGAAGTAAGTGTATTTCACACCAGAATAAAGATTTACACTACGTTCATTTTTGTGTATTAATGGTGGAACTTGATATGGATATAAGAAAAAATTTTGCAGTATGAAGATATAAAGAAAAAATAAATTAGTTTAACGGTTAATTTAAAGTCATAGTATCAATTAAAATTAATTATTAGTAAATAAGTCACTAAGAACAATTATTTTTTGTACAACAATACTATTTAAAAAATTCTACACAGATACAATTGGTCAGTATTATGAATATTAAGACGCAGAAGATTTGTAGTTCAGGTGAACGGTTCTGGTTGAGCTTCGTTCTCTGAGCTCGATGACTTAGTTGTAGAATCTTCATCGTTCTTCCGGGCAACATCATTAGCACAAGCTTCGAGTAGATGCTCGACGATTAAGCCATCCACTTCAAAGAACAAAACTCCACTGGAAAGTACGGATAGCAAATCATGTTCAAGAGTAAATTTAAGATGTAGTATGTTGAGATTATAATAATTCCCAAGTCCAACTTGAAAAACTGAAACGCTTCCCAGTTTAAATATGTGGCTCATCTCAACGTTCATCACATAACCTACAAATAGTGATAGTTGCTTTTCCCCTAAATTAAATCGAAACCTATTTATACATGTTGATGAAAACTTACAGCTTAACATAGATAATCGTACACTTTTGATGAAACGGATAAACTGTTTATATAGTACTTCAAATAACACTTCCTTGTTCAGTAATATTTTATTTTCGGTGATTTTACATATTTTCTTAACCTTTATCCAACCTTTTTAGACACACTAATTGTTAGTAATTTCACTCTTTTTTCTTTTTTCTTTGTTACTTGCCGTCTACTCAACGCATTACCGAAATTCTTTATTACTTTTGTCTAACTGTGTTATGTCTTGTGACCTTGTGCCCTATTAATATATTACACAATGATATCGCCAATTAGAGAACAGTGATTTATCGACCAGACCAATGACGTATAAAATCCATACGAGCAGTCTAGAGTCTTTATCGGTCCTTCTTCCTGCCTACACATGCCTGTTAAGTCCAGCACACCGATGTCAGCTTCTGCGATACGAATCAAGTATTTTAAATATATTGGGTTTATGTACAAACCAAACAGACCACATCGTACTATAAAACAGAAAATAACACGTACAAGATCTAGCCAAAAGTATCTGTGAATGTGGGAGACTGTAATTAATAGACTGAGCACAACTCAACAACGATAAATCGTATAATAATAGTTTATAGGTCAAAAGAAAGCATGTAATAAAATTATAGATATACACAATCTAGCTACTAAATAGCTATACATTAATATACGTATAACACTTGTCCATAAATAGTTCTCAAAAGTTGTTAACATACATAATTCTCATCGGGATATAACAGTAAGCAAATAAGATATGTACAGAGAATGGTTGATATGAATCCAAACAACATACGCATGTAACAAAATCTAGCAGTATAAAGGTGTTTATAATTGAACTATACGATTTATTGTGTATTGCTTTGATTTCCTATTATTTATACGAAAATGTATTAAAATTCACCGAACATTTACTCTTCTTATCTAGTCTGGATAAAAAAGGAAACAGCCAGTTATCAGGGAGACGCCAGGATATGAATCATATGTGCGTGCACGTACACTTGTAATTATGTATGGTTGTAACAATGGATTATAACCAATCAGGTATTTTGGAGATTATTAGATTTTCATCATGAAGTGATCATAGTTATACTATCACTGACGACTGTTCAGTGCTACCTGGTTTACAGTGGTGGTCTAATCAAGATTAGTCCCGGATGTAAACTATGAAAACAGGACTAATTAGGAATTAAGCATTAATACCAATTAATGACAACTTTGCAAGTAAGTGCTACATGATCTCTTAATTTACTTAATCAACTGCAAAACAACATTGTTTGGTATTTTTCGGTATTCTTCAGACTAAAAAAGTTTGAATTTTTCGAACCGTGGTCACAACGGGTGATGGTCGAATGACCGAAATAGCGCAGCTTTAACTCGTAACTGGGATTTTTATCACGATTGATTTACTCTCTAACTCAATTATTAACAACTAAAGATAAAACGAGAAAGAATAAGGATTGTTAAATGCCGATGGTTAATGAAAATACAACCGAGTACTTGTAGGATTTTCACTGAGATGAGTCCCTAAAATTTCGAAGTTAACGAAGATAAAGTTTCGTCAATAGTTTAAAAGCTTCAAAACGCGTGTGAATAAAAGCACATTTTAGCAAGTTCTAATGGGGTAGCCTTAATTCACAGTATTTTAAAGTTTAAATTAATGAATTTCAAGAAATCCGATGATTATTAGGAGGATCATGCGATGAGTTGTGGCGCTACCTAGTGAATTTTTACCGGATAATCTACTATTTCAGCAGTAATAAATATTTCCTAGCAATATAAATACCTACTTTGGTCATTCAATGAAGAAACCTGAACGACCAATTTGTAACTACCATTTTTACATAAATATTAATATAGTATTACAATAAATTATCAAAAAACTAGCTCACTGCTTATTTGTAATTCAGCTGTCTCCATAGTACCAGGCACAATATTGAACATGCAATAATATTTTCCGTACAGTTCTTGGTCATAGGCTATGTTAAGATAAACAAATCATATTTCGTAAAATATACAGGAACCTGGTAAAATCATACGTTAAAACTCAATAAAAACAAGCATCAGTGTTAACTAAGGTAGTTTCTATTTCTAAAACGCATTTAATTACGATTGAATAGAAACTTCTTAACCTTAACAATATTTTCCATACTATGCGACATGAAACCCTAACCCTCCATAAAACCTTGAGTGACACAGATATGTACTTCTGAACGTAAAAGGACTAATTTATTCCTCTATTCACCAGCGCACAACTAATGGAAAAATAAATCTGAAAAGTAGCTAAATCATAGATCAATCAATTGAGACAATAAATAAGTAGTTTTTAGTGAGGCCCTTCATTTTGACGTTACTTAGATTGAAAGATGTTATCGACGGGCTCCCCACTTTAGTGGCCTGATGTCAGACTCCAATTGGATCGTATGGATGTTATTGAAATACACATGTCGATTATCCTCGAATGTAATAAACAACTTCGTTCGTGTTAGTGGATAATGGAAGTAAATAAGCCAAATACGAGAATGGATTTTTGAACACATATATTCTGTATACTCACTGATCTGGACAGGCAATCAGAGAGACGAAGAGAAGAGAATGAAGCGAAATGGCGCACAGTGGAGAAGACATGTAAGTCAACTCTAGTTAATCGAGCGTTAATTTATGGCAAGGTAAAAATAGGTTACAGATATTTGACGAATATGATAAGAAGTCTACACACACGCTCATATTAAAACAGTCAAAGTTGATAAGTGAATAACTCACAAGGCCAAAACGTGACTCAAGAAGAATGGATAAATTGGCCTGTCCAGAAGCTAGAATTAACTATATGGGCTTAACTGACACTAAAAGCCAATTAAACAGCAATGAGTATGATTACAGTTTATGAAGCTGTTACTATCGCGATAAGCCTGTTGTTCAATTTAAAGTACTATAATACAAGTGTGAAGAATAGTGTTTTTTATTCGACGTAGAGTCAAATACAAAATATGCGATACGTAATAAGATGTTGACAACCAAAAATAAAAGACACCCAAGTACTAGACATTTAGGAAAGTTGATTGCCTCCAACCTTGTAAATAATTTGAAAATTCTTGTTTTTAATGACTCGCTACTCCACGTTATCATGATATGAAGATTTCAAAAGTAACGTTTGAGTGTGACTCTAATGAATATTTTTTTAAGTCTCTATAAGAGCATAAGTGTGTAAGACAAAAGATATGTACTATCGAATCATTAGCCTAGTAAATGTTTGTATACTAGGCTATAGGTCACAATTGTTATGTAAAAACTGGGAACACAATATGCTTATATATAAAAGTACATAGAGTGGAAATGGAGCCTGTCACCAGTGATCGTAAATCAAGTGATTGGGTTAAAGTTACTAGACGAAAAAATCTTTACACTTTTGACAAGTATCAGGTTATATGAATTATCAAGCTTAGGGATGAAATATGAAGTATTATAGAACAAGTGGAGTGAAATCATCAAGCTTACAAGGATGAAGCAATGTCAAATTACTCCATATTATGCCAGACTTTTCGTCTCGACTCTCAGTAACTTTGTAAAGATTGGGTTTAACATGATACTTTCCGCCTCTCCAACGGACAGTAGTGTATCGTATACCGTTTGAACCAACTCGGAATTCACACGCAACAACAGGATGATAACTTGAATTGATTGTGTTAATCTGAAGACTGTAAGCACCAACCACCTCATGTTTTTTTATCAAGTGGACAGTACTACTAATCTTGTTTAAAACTAAACAAGAAACTGAGTTATTAACATAAAAATACCTCCATAAACGTGAACATCTATCTGACGACTGGCAAGTCCATTAGTACACTGATATACGCCCGACATATTAAACTGAACGCTGACGAGCAGCAACGATACTTCTTCATTTTTTTGGGACGAAATGGTAATATGGCCTGTATTATTTAGTGGCGTAAACGTTCCATCTTGTGATGGTGCATACAGCCATCTTAGAAGATGTTCGTCAGATATTGTACGGCAAATTAAAGTGACGTAGGAATTGTAAACAATAGCAATACCATCTAATTCTTTTTGGTTGCCATTGGTATCTAATACAATAATTTCTGGTGTAACTGAACCTAAAAAAAAACTTCGTATTAGTAGTTGCAGATAATAAACTTATAAATCTTATGCACACGAAATGTTAGAAAACGTTATGCAGAATATGAAGTACCGAAAATTGTGCAACACTGCGAGACTATAATTTATGGACGAACCAATGAGATATTAGACAGTCACGAATTTCGGCACGGAATTCATCCATACATATGGCTAATTAGTTTTGGCATTATGGCTGATGTCAGTTCGTAATGAAAACCTTAAATCTAATTTTTAAATATAACCATGAACTGCGATCGGGAATTCTAGGTAAGGATGGCAAATCAATTGATGAAGTAGTGAAACTTCATCAGTTGAGATGGCTGGGACGTGTTACGTATGCCCAACGACCGACTGCCTCGACGTGCTATGTTCAGTGGTATAGGAGTAGGTTGGAAGAAAGCTAGGGGCGGCTATGCCAAAACACGGCACAAGTCCATGAAGTCACTGACAAGTGGACTGAGTCATGTTGGTAGGTGTAGACTACCTGGTTGGGGACCACGAGATGAGAGCAGCCGATGGTTAGACACTCTGAATGACATGGCTCAAAATCGTTTGCAATGGCGCAGGTGCATCCACTCTCTGTGTTCTCCCAAATTCTAGTCTTCTGAATTCTTCATGTCCCTTTTTTCCTCTTTCCAAATTTATTTCACTGGATTATACTCTTTAAATAATATCTCCAAACCCAATTACTGCTTATACTCTTATTACCTCTACCACCACGGGATTTGAATCGACAACTGCATCTCTGTGCTAATGTGGTGTGGCAACCCGAACTGATGTACGTACGTACGAAGCTCTACGTTGTTACTGACTGACTGACTGAATTGGGGATTCTCACTGTCATATAACCCTCATTTAGTTCTAATAAGTAGGCGTCCACTCTCAAAGTCACTTCAGCTTCGTTCAAAGGTTTTCTGGGAATTATCGTCTCATCCGATTCACTAACTTTCGATTCGGTCATGAATTTGATGACATTATTATCATGAAAGCAATCATAAAGTATATTTCAACAAGATGCCAAATTGCAGTTGATTAATTATAAAAAACGATCTCTACTGCTTTGCAGCGCCACTGAAGGAAAAAAACTACAGGTTATTCAAATCGCGAGCAGGGCCGATACCTAGTGTTTATTGGGATGAAAGAGAATATTTCTAGATCTGAGTACAAATAAATGGAAACAAAGTCACGTGTCAACAACCTTATAGCAGCTATAATGACCCCTTAACAGAATATCTTGAGGGTTTTCCTTAGAGAATGAATGGCTATCAAAAAACTATATATCTACACTTACTGAATTCACTTGCTAACAAGTGATATTGGTCAAAATTATACAAATTGAGCAAAATAAAATAATATGAAGTATTATGAACAAGAAAAAAACAAGCCATAAATTAAATTACATAACTCTGAAACATCTTGACGAACGATACTCAATATTTTTGCATTATCATAGTGATCACTACGTCTGAAAATTACACTCCTACCTAACCACATACCACAAATCTTACAAAAATCCAAACAATATTATGAAATGCTAATAGCCTTTACCTATCTGAGATGACTTGTAGATTAATGAGGTAAGAACTAGAAATGTCATCAAACAACCCCTCCCCGACCCTTTAGACATTTTAATAAACCCGCCTTGGCCTTGGCACATTAAAACGTCGCGAGTTCCGAATCAAGAACACAAGTCGTGATCGTCTTGGTGACAATACCAGTAGTTTCCTCAGGATTATTCATTTTTTTAAAAAGCACTAGCAGGTGAGTTCGTAGTGACATGTACATTTGATGACGTTTCAGTGTACAATAAAAATGTCTCGACATTATAATTGAATATCATCTCATAAATATCATATCTACTTTCTTAGGTGTAATCGTTTTCAAAATATCATATATTTTTCGTTTATTTGTGCTGATCATGAATGTACTACGATTTTCTATAAATTAGTACTTAGTTTTTCAGTATGCAGATGAATACTGATAAACGCTACTCCATGTTCTACTTTAATAACCACAGCCGCTAATCAAAGTGTTTATTGTTGTGCACTCTCTTCAGCTGCTCTTGATTACGCATGATGATCACCATAGAATCTATGCTCGTTTGTCAAGCCACTATATCTTGACTAAACTTTCGATTAAATGGTTCAATATAAGTATCATGAATTTTCAAATGCTCATAAGTGTATAACCTTGCGGTTATCGATATTTAGGTCAATATGTTATCCCAATTTAACAAACTGTAAAAATGTTACTTCGTGTTGAATGACGTCTTAATTTTAGCTATGTTTTTGATAGGTTAACTGACATCCTTCTAACTGTCAGGCAGTTCAACTACTCAGGAACTGAAAACAAAGTTCAAACAGTCCAAGTGTTTCAAATGATTAAAGATACAACAGAAAGAGCGTTCACTTAGCGAGCTTCTCTATTTTGTAGTAATGGATCACAGGTGCTTCCAATGCATATGAAATAAGAAGAAATGTATATATTACTAATGAACTAATAAGAGTGTGTAGATCACAAACATATATGATCTGCGGCGACGATTGGTGGTCTATCCAATATGAACGTCGTGGCCACACCCACGGTTAATACACGATGTAGATTACCCTTTCGTCGTATGCAGGTACTATGGCTAATTTGATGACAGTACAATACATACAAAGGAGATGAACTGAGAGCCAAATGATTTCGCCAGGACCCAGTGACATTTATGTAACCCCGCAAGCCGTTATTTTTTACCCCCAACAGTGTGCCAATCTTCCGCTTGAAGGATGTGCAGAACGTTTCCTGAACTTTCTTAGCTGGTGGAACACTCGAGACTTCGACATTTACAAAGCATTGAAAAATTAAACTACAATCTATTCTCACATATTGTACATTTTGCTCACGATATTTTCCTCCAAACTTTGTGCTGAAAATGAAATTTCGCTAGTATTTCGGATGATGGAAAAGGGTATTTAAGAAATTCTATGTTATGTAATCAGAATGAATCACAAACATCTGGAATGGTAACTTATTTGGCTCGAGCTTCATTCCGTGAACTTATTACTTTACATACTTTTCGGTACACTTCAGAGCATCCTCATAATTACTGGGTGTAGGAGTGTAGCGTGGCGTCGAGTTGAGGTTAACTATGAACACCGCTACAAAGAAACACGTGCCAAGTGAATCAAAAGGCGTAAGAAGCTCGTTCCACATGACTCCATAAAATCCCCGAGAAGCCAAATATCAGAAGGCAATTAATGGACCAAGTCGATGTTTATTTGCTGGCGATCTCGTGGCATCGAAAGGATACCGAGATCGTGCCAGGATACAAGCTTGGTTACAGAATGTAACCGAATTCGCGCGAAGTTACAATCAAAGTGTAAGTAAGTGAATGGAAGCCCAAAATAGCTGTCATTAGCACAGTCAAACAAAAGCACGTTAAAACAAACACTGGTACAGTTGGTTATAATAATAATTGTTTTTATTAAACCAGTCGTGTTCTCGTGATAAACGTGAGTCACTACAGGAGTAAGAACTAGGTCTCTATGCTTTAGATAAAGACGAATAAAACTGTAGAAAACCAGGTGAAAGAAATCCACATTCAATTCAGACTAATCAGGGACTACTTCAAGGTTTGCTTTAGTGACATTTTTGTCACAGGTCACCAGATGTATTAAAAATAAATTTTTCTTACAACTGACCATTGATTACGACCAATTAGATAGTCTCAGAGAGGAAGATAAACAGTCTACTTACAATAATAATAGTTGATTCTCAAATAACAGACTGTTAAATGAAGAATGCCAATAAACAGGCAATATCAAATTTTTACTGACAACTAAACCGCGATGAATAATGATGAATTATGTGAAATTCGGCCTAGTTTACCATCATTATTTTTATAACTTTAAAAATATTTTTAAGGGTATTTCATTTTGTCAGTCCGTATTTTTAAGAAGTTATCTCTTGGTTATGTCATTATTTGTTCTGGAAAGACAGAATTCATTGGGGCTACATTGTTATGGTTATTGTATCACTGCGAGAGAGTCTGGATATATTCCTCGTCAATATCTCCAAGAGCCCACTAGATGCTGCAAAAGGTTTTATACAATTAGCGTTGAGTAGAGGCCTGGGCAAAATGCCTAGAAATAGAGAAGTCACATGTCTTGCTTTGATTGGGTGCTTGCAAACATTTTTACCGTAGCTAGCATATTTCCTAAAATTTGTAGGGAGTAGATGTCACTCATCCTCACTTTCCCCTATCACGGAAGGCGTAACCCAGAAAAAACCCCGAAATCATATTTCGTGTTTGTTCGTTATTATAACATATGACTCGCGAAAAGATTTTCGATTTGTTGCAAGGTATTAATGACAGAGTTGTCAAGTCCAATTATGATATACGCAGACGACTATATTAATGATGTCAGCCTTAAAGTTCTCGTTCAATTGTGAAGTTTTGAGAAAACTGAGATTTACCAGGTTGAATTAACAGCCCTAACTAGAGTTACAACAAAAGTGATTGCACTGAGCAACATAGCCGATTACTATTGAAAAACCGTCCCATTGACTACAAGGTAGTCAATGGGTAACTGATGTTGCTTATTATTGATTGGTGTAAGGAACATTTTTAGTAGTTGACTCTCTCCTCGTCTTTTACTTTAACGGTCATGACAAACCGTGATAGAATAATGGCATTTGAACCAACGGAAATGAGTAGGCACAGCACTCCAAGGTCATCAGAAGCAAAAATGTTGGACACACACTGATACACCGAATTCTTAGAAAAACTCCTTAAGCAAAGAATATTGTCAATAGTTTATGATAGACACAAGCGAAATTGAAGTTGTGTTACTGTCGGGACTTGTAGATAGGTTCGATTTTGTATGTAACTATACCACTGCAATATATAAGTTTGCCAGTGTACACTGTTTCTAAGGGTTATAGGTAGAAATTGCAACTTGACAAAGTTCCACAAGTTCGCGAGTCAAAAAATTCTCTCAGGTCGTCCTTTATAAAGTTCTTGGAGGCCGTTCATTTTAACTCTTGAAAAAATATTTCGCAACATTTTCACTCATGAAAAGAATTAAACCTGCTAGACTAAGATGAATCTCATATCAAATCAGGCACATTTTCAGCATCAGAATATCAAACGAGCGTCCGCCATCTTACCTCGAACATATTTTTTCTGCAAACGAAATGAACGACACGGGACATCTGTCCTGGAATAACGTCTTAAGGTCTTACTAGTTCTTTTCGCAGATAGGACACCTAGAAATATGGAGTCGTACTTTTCTTTTCCTATTGTGAAGGTTATTGCCCGGTTGACTCTATTAAAATTCCGTACTAGGTTCTGAGCTTCGCTATCGTCTTTTGTAACTATAACTGTACCGTACATGAAGCGACAATAAAATCCTCGTGTGCCTAGCACTCGTTTTAGATGGATGTATTCCAATTCCTCCAGAAGGAAATCAACTACGACTGGACCCATTGGCAATCCCATCCATCTGAACGTTTCATACACAAAATAACTAACAATATAATGATGACATCGCAGTAGCTCGACTTCATGGATCCCAGGTCACTTGATTAAACTTTCAGATGGTTTCCTTTCTTTGCGCGGTGATTAGTTGGAAACTTCCTATGCCGATTTGGTTGGTTTGAAATACGTTTCCGAACAACACTATCCAACTCCATTTCACACCAATGACAGTTGTTGAAGCAAGTGTGCATACCTTCTAGTAATACAATGTAACAATTTCAAGTTACATTCATACTTTGAAATTAAAATGTCTAGTTATCAAATGGCCGTTCTATAGAATCATTTATCTATGCGTTAAACTTCTCACTTCGCGCATTTGTAGCTCTTATTTACCCGGAAAATATGAATGCGGAATTACAATATAACCAAAAGCATTTTCTGCTAACCGTTCATCCTACCCTAAGCACTCTGTCTTCCATGAACCTTACTGCTCAAATAGCTCATGAAAGCTCTTTCAAGAGTAAATTACAATCTGAAATTTTAAACAACTTACTATTCACTGAATGAAAGCTAACTACAATTCCAACTAAACTGATATTTGGAATTAAATAAACTTTTTACTTTGTACGTAACTTAGTAGGAAGCAACCAGTCACAATTAGTTATTCGTATTCTATGACTTTACGTCATTCAAAGTTGTTAGAGACGATCATCAACATGAAATAAGATAAAAATCACCTTGTGACTGACAAATTTGAAATAAGTGAAAAAAGGAGTCTATCATAAGAAAAAATTTAATTAAAATAAATATAAATGCCTTTAACACAGTTAAAGTTATTACCAACCTGGGTAATATTATGAAAGTACAAACAAAAGAGGAAAACAAATATAGGTATATTATAGCAAATGTAAAGTACTATGGCAGTCAGAAGATTTAAGTAAACAGGTCAAGGTAAATAAATGATAAATTTCCGCTTGAAAATAAAGTCAAAATTGCACAAAATTTCTAAACACAGTGATTTCAGTCAAAGAATTCCCACCTTAAGATTCAAATATACAGTCTAACAGAAAGACACACTAATGATTAAAGGAATGTATGCTAAGGTTATTCGTATATATATAACAGGAAGTAACAAAGAATCTAATGAAGTCATTTTAAAGATTCAGCTTAACATCTTGTGAAGATAAATAGTGGAAGAAAACAAATTAAAATAAAATAAGTGTATTACTCTGAGGAAAAAAAGAGAAATTCTATATAATTACTGTTTAGAATCTGATTTACCTCGACCAGATTTTGTCTTACGTCTCCATAAAGTAGCAAATGGTCGAACAAACGAATAATTTCGCGGTAAACTTGTCCTGAATGTATCAGTCGTTTCAGTGTTTAATTGAAATGATTCTTTCAAGTTGAAAACTACACAAATATAAGATTCACAAAAAGTAAATATTAGTTTTCAATGTTGATTTGTAAGTAGACTGAACCCAACATAATAAAGTATTATGCGTATAATCTGTAATACACTAAACAATCATTATTTAGACAATTAATTAATCAACAGCCACGTAAAAATATCCTCCTATCTGTCCTAAATGAACTACAACCGAAATATTCAGATAAAAATATGATTCTAAGACTTACTTTCTTTATTATGAGTGCAATCGAAATCATTCACTAAACCATTACCAGTAGATTTAGGAAAACGATTAGATTCTAGAGAAGTTTCTTCAATCATAGATGACAAACGATCAGAATCACTAGACTTCATACTACCATTACAATATCTATACTTATCGATTGAGCAAGGAATTGAACTTGTAGTTTCACAAATAGTACTTTTCGCATATTGATTATGAATGTCTGAACGTATCAAGTGACCAGTTAAAGCTTCAATACGACTCCAACGGTTTATACGTTCTTGAACTTCACTTTCAAGTTGATCCAAAGCTTGTCTAGAAAAGAAGGTAATAACCAAATACAGTATACTAGGCTGTACATTAAATAATAAATTACTTTAAAATAAAGATAATGACAAAGCTTAGATGAGATACACTCAGTAAAATTCTATTTCATTTTCCACAATATTTATTATCGGATAATCGGTTATATGTATATAATATTCGTTAACTACGTTAAACAAGAACGTTGTAAAACTATTGACTTTATCGTTAAGCAATGTGGGAAGAAATATATTAGACGATATACTTTCCGACAATTTTCTGGAAAATATACGAAATCATAAAAACCTTGTGATTATTACACTAAGTATAAAAATGAAAAACTCCGCCTGTAGCTCTTCTACGGTTACTGCCAGTCCCAAACCCAGGAAAAGAAGGGGGGTTTGGCATGGAGTCAGCAACCCCATCCATCGAAAAAAGGCTTGCTAAGAAAACGCCAACCAGAACAAACAACTTAAACCACTTAAACTCCTCCCTGACACATGAAGGATTTTCTTTCAGAAGAATCATGACACCTCATGGCGAAAGCCGAGATTCTTCGGAAGTCACAAGGCCAATGTCTCTTCTAACAACCAGAGCAACGATCAATATGGTTACATAAAATTTTCGAACAATGCGGGAGGATCAATTAAATAGCTAAGGAAATGAGGAGGCGCAACCAAAAGAACACAACAATTTGCAAGATTTATTAATAATAAAGAGTAAGTAGTATGACTCTCAATAATATCCCAGAGAGTTCTCATAACTCATGAATTACGCGAAAGTAACGAATTCAAAGAAACATCGTTTAGGAAATCCTACAAGCTAATATGCATTTCAAGCCCATAGTACCTGGTTACACTGCAGTAACTCAGTGGGAACACCAATGGTCTCAAAGCACATAGAAACAAAACAGTCTGTCAGTAATGGAAATAAAAGGAAGGTTTCCGAGAGGAATAAGACGAGATGCCACATAAAATGATAAATACTTGTTATCTGGAAGAGTTAAATCCATCAAGGAAAATTCCTAGGTCGCTTATCTACGAGAGAAGTGTTGGATCCATGAAAAGAAATGAATAAAACAAGAACAAACTATTAAGCATCAGTCACAAAAACACAACTAATAAACTTCCAATATTTTACTATTGATCTTATTTCGCAAACATATATAATTATTCACTCTAACAATACACAAATTCACCTATAATTGTTAGAGACAGAGTATTAGAAGTACAGATTTACGAACAATCATTCGTTATTCTACGGATGCAGCGCAAACTCAAAGTTCGAGAAATTCTGTTATTCACACATGTGATTCCACATTGCTAAATAGATTCAAAATACTGAACACATTTTTAGTCCTAGTACAATAATTACCAGGTAAATACACATAAATCTTTTTTGTTATATTGAATTGACCACAACACATCAAGTTAATCATGGTGTTTGCATATGACACAATAAAGACATTAAACCAGTACTGACCTAATAAATTTACTTCAGTCAGATCACAAACTATTTTCATTCAGATTTTTTTTGTAATTTATCCATTTTAAATTAGTTGACCCATTTTTTAAAAGGATTTATGTACATTACGTGATTTCTCACTGATCATTCTTTTGTGTGCTTTTGAGAGGAAATTTTATTATTATTTTGATTAGTAGTCATATTGATAGTGTTCAAACCCAGTAGAAAGGTTACATGATCATTCTTTTACATACGACCAAACTCACTAGTGAAGAATTGAGAGATGCTGCTAACCTAATATGATTATTCTATAATTCAAAGAGCCGTAGTGAAAACTGAAGATCTATGTGTGTATTACTTTAAACTGAATCATAAACATTTTGATTAACAGTTCATTTTGCATTTACTCCGATCAAGACCAGAGTCAACAATTTTTTCTACTTTCCGAATTCGGACTTATTCAGAGTTTAATAGCGTCTAAACAATTATTACTACAAATCTATAAAGAAATAAAACTTTATGCTTAAACAGGAAATAACTATATATATATTGTGTATCATAATAAACGATAACTTACTTCGCACTAATCAAACGATTTTCCAATTCATCCAAATTTATCGCATTTACTAGTCGAACTGAACCAAAAATACCATAACGTTTACGCATAAAACGTCTACACTAGGAGCAACAAATACATAGGCCAAAGGTTAAAAATTGTGTTCTGTTGAAAATTAAATACAATTAACCCAACCAAAACTGAGTGGAAACACATAATTGTTTGATAACATCAGTAACAGCTACGCTACATCATACGTAGTAGTACATGATGCAGCTTTTAGAAAAACTTACACATAGTATACTTATAAATTATATTATGGCCATAAAGAATAATAATGAATTTAATAACAAAATGAAAATATCACTTCTCTTTTGAATTGAACAACTATTGTAGAAAATAATATATCTATAACTAGTTCTATGACAGAAATACTAGCAAGTTTATCTAACTAATTTCTCTCGGATCGATATTCGTATTAAATACATCATCTGAAATAGTTGTTCTCAAATTAGAAAAATTATTTGGAAAAGTTTTTATTTATCTACATTGAATGTTACCACTGAAATTTCCATATATTTTTTTCAAATCAGAAACACAATAACACTAAGAAAAGTTTTATCTCGTACTCATCATAATCTTAAACAGTCAAAAAACTATATATGGTAAACAAATGTGTATTATTTTAGTATGCAAATAAACTGATTTGGTAAACAATTCGTTATAAGATACATATCCGTAAATTTTATACTCTCAATGTAACATTTCATAATTTTCATTCATGTAAGCTAACGGCACATCAATTTAACTCAGCGCTAAGCAAACGAAAATACCAATCAACTGTATTTATAAGTATAACTTAAATGTGTTATTCTACCAAAGAGACTTTTATTTTCTTAGTCTTAATTGATCGGCTAAATGTAAGCTGATTGTATTTGGTCATACGGTGGAAACTTTGTCAATTTCCTAGCCAAATATGACAGATAGAAGTATATTATAGACAGATTGTTGATTAAACATTAAATACTGCTACCACGACATGTTACTAAACAGAAGTGATGAGATAGCTATGTAAACTGGGTTTATATTTTATTCTTATCGCTAATTGTCAAATAAAACATATTTACAAACATGAGGGAATTGAAGCGTCCACGGAAATCTGAAACAACATCGACTTACTGTTATAAGAGGTTTTTCCAATAGGTTATTCATACTGTGCATTTGGACCAATGGATAACAAGAGAAAAACCATTGTCATGTTAACAAAAACAAATCTTGGATTAAAAAATTTCAATATCTGTTATCTCTAACTGTTCGATATTAGACAAAGTACAATAACATTTTTAATAATAGAACCAAGTAGTTATCGTCCAAGCTTGATCCATGCAAACTGGTCTACACTAAGGGCTACAAATGATGGTGGTCACCAATCAGTGGAGTAAAAACATTTTGAGTTATGCAGGAATAGGTGTTAACACTTGGCAGTCGAAAAATAATATAATAAGTAGATAAAATAATAATTCAGATAGATTAAAATAATAATTTAAGAAAATTATTAATAAACTTAATTACAGATTGACGAGCAAAATCCAGTTTCTTTTCAGCTTTCATTCTTTTTTCACAATAACGTTTAAGTTCCAATTCATAAGTAACTTGTAGCCAATGTCTAAGTTCATAATAGGGTTCACCTAGATGGTATTTATTACAAGGATTTGTCGATAAAGTAACTGGTGAACAAAACTCATTTCCAGAACTTCGTCCCTTCAAATTTAGAATTTTGCGATATTGTAAATTACGTATTTGATCAAAAGTCAATGGATCGTTTGCTGAGTATATATTATAATTATTCAAGGAATTCGGATGTAAAGAATCATTATATAAGTCAGTAGACAAACTGAATTCAGCAATTGACGACGGTATGTATGATGAATGATCGTATGATTGTTTATGAGTATTAAGACTATCTTCATTCAACGCTTCCATACTTTTAAGATGAGGCGATGACAAATTATCTCTTTTCATACTCTACAAGACAGTCGAGTGTAAATGAGAAAAAAACAAAACAATATAAAACCATACAAGTGCAGATACTGTATGAAATAGTTAGCGATATGTCGTAAGACTAAATAGACTGAAAACCACTTCTACCTTTGAATATCTACGCAAAATGAGAAATAAATGGAAAAGAAACAAGAATTACACTGAACAGCTTAAAAATACTTTTACTTTAACTGATACTTCGCTATTTTAGAAAATCCTTATCAAAGCTCTAGATTATTCATTCACGGAGGATACTGACAAGCAGTAACAAATATTTTGTAAATGAGAAATTACAAAATAACCGAGATTCCATTTCAGTCAGTCAGCTACAACGTAGATTTCATCTTCCTTTAACAAATTAACGAATTAAGTGTATACAACGAATTTCAGATGGAATCTGTGAAGGTCCATTTACTTTAGTGATACTCTTAATAGTTTTTAATGTCTATCCACTTAACCATATTAATAGTGACAATAAAAAATGGTGCACTAAATTAGGAATTTTTAAAAATTCAACGAGTTATATTTCATGAAAACACGAATAGGGATTCGATGTTTATTTTTACTGATTTGTATAAATTAACTTGATTAAGAAATCCTTTAGATTTTAGCTAGACAAATCAATAAACTATGGATAAAAAACTGAGTAAAAATGAACATTTTAAAAGTAAAACACAACAGGAAGTTATCATGTATGACAGAAAACAGGTAACTGTGTATGAAACGATATCGTAGGAATATTACACAATCGAAAGATATGCTTTCATCTAACGCTAAATTTAATGGTAAAAGATGTTCGAAGACTGGTTAACTGACCAAAGATAGATTTATTTACTAACTGTAAGATATGTCTACCCAAACCTTAACAAGTAGGACAGTGTTTGAACTCCGACTGCATTGTATCAAATCGGAGCCACAATAAACTTTCAGTTGCTGGAGATAGGACTATAAAATTTCTGGAGATAGTGCAAATGTGTCGTTGGTTTTCTGTATTACTGCACTACATGCTGGAATAGCGTCACAATAATATCATACATAGAACTTAATTCAAATAACTACTTATAACATAAACTTAGAAGTTGCTTTTAGTTTAATGGACACAGAAATTTTAATCTCACCTTAGGAGCTGATGATGACGCAAAATGTTGATTTACTTCATAAGCATTCAACGTTTGCCTTAATTGCTCCACATCATCTAACCTATTTAATTTTTTTAAAACAAATACACAATAATTACATGTCGGAAGGAAAATTGTGAATCATGACATATTACTGGAATTTTTGAATAAAGTTGTATTCTAATATTAAATGTTTTCTTGTTATATTCCAATCGAAAAAAAATTGCATTTCTGATATTTCGTGACTCAATGTAAGGCACTTCTTCGGAGTAAACAAATAATCGGATTAAATTAACACAAGTTTAAATAGTACTATGTCAAAATTGACAAACCTAAACTTTAACATTTGTGAGACATCAATACGCTAGAAACAATAGTAAATAATACGAAAGTTTTCGTACAACCATGCACCAAAATGTAACTCCAGAATTAAGATTACAATTATTTGAACGCTACAGAGACCATTGACTAGATCAAGAGTTTGAAACCCACAGTGTCTGAAGAACCACCAGCTAGCACATTACTATTATCCGACCGTTGCTGCTACCTTGATATGGTAGTCAAGATTGCCTATCGTAGTGGATCAATCGGGCTATACTGGCTGGGACAATCGTTCCTCGAGGACCTACGATACCAGACAGATCGGTAATACTAAAAGCGGCAACCTACAGTCCAAGGGAAATGCCATATTCCTGGCTGTACTGAGATGTGACAGCAGTAAGGTGTTTCCTTCAGACAACCAGCATGACAGCGATTATGCCTGCTCCCAACGGAAAGAAGGGGTTAGAAAAGGTCGACAGCAAGAATATCACACCTCACATTGCTCAATGGATATCCGTCTCTGATGGCAAGGTTTTAACAGGTCGTGCACAACCGACAACAAGCAGTTGTCCCTTGGGCACTGCGGTCACGCTCTCAGGTCACTAAGACCACATATAATCCAATTTCATTTTCAGGCACCTCCAGAACAACCCTTCCACGGTGTGGGCAACCGGGAAGTGATAACCGTCCTCATAAATCTAACAGCACTCAAGACCACTGTATTCATAATCAACCTCCGTCTTCACTTTCTATTATTCCTCCTACATCGACTTTCACCTTTAAACTTCCTCGTTCGGCTTCCCCCTCAAGTGTCACCACAGCCGACGATTCTAGTGCGCAAAACATTGTCCCAGGTCTATTGAAACCTCACTCCAAACTACACATTGGAGCTTACAATTTACATATCTTATGCCAAGGATAGGGAGTGAAGTAGTCTTCTCTGACTCGACTGGTAGCGTTCGAATAAAGAGCCATTCCATATGGACCAGCTGCTCTTCCTCGTTTCAGATTAGCTATAGCCTTTTAAACTTTAATAAGATTTTGGGAGCTTGTTTCAATGTTCCATTCAGGCTGTTTAGAAATGCTGAGTATTTGTAGAGTAGCTGAAGGCCAGCTGAACTGTGCTGCCCATCGTTCTAAACGTCTGGAATGGGAGCAGATGAGAGTGTCGTCTTTTTTTCGAGATAGTCTCACTTACACTTGACTTATTAATTCCAGTTTCCTTTGTTAGACTGTAGAGCTGTCTTGTGTTCCCTATAGCCGCCGCCTGATGGCAATATGGTCTATTTGAGTCCATCGTTGGTTTGGTGTAGGGGGTCGCCATGTTAGACGATGTCTCTCCTTATGCTTAAAATTAGTGTTTTCTAAAAATAAACGATTATCTGAGCACAGTTGCAGCAGACGATCACCATTATCTGTTCACTGCGCTGTAATACTAAAATACCCACCTAAATGCCTTTCTGTTTGGTTTAAACTACCTATCTGGGCATTAGAGTCACCTGCTACGAGTACTATGTCTGAACGTTTAGCTTTCTGAAGAAGTTCAGATAGATTTCTGTAAAAGTCATCTTTCACCTCATCCGGGTTGCAGTCAGTGGCAGCGTAGGCAGGAACTTTGAAAAGGCAAAGACGTGTGTCCTTCCGAGTTCTTACAGAGCCGTTCATCCGAATAACCCATAGACGACTGTTAACAGTTATCCACTAATAGTGGTTGTTCCGCCTTCGTACTTAGTGCTATGCCTACCCCTGCCAGTTTACGAGAATTTGCCGTTGGGTTGCTAGATAAACGCGGGGTGTATCTCTTCAGCTCTCGGTTTTAAATTTGAGGTCAAGTGAATGACCACACAAGGATCCTGTATGCGTATTTCGGAGTCAGCATACATCAGTGGTACGAGATTCTAGGGCTTTGGCTAAGGGATGCCTACTTGCTGATTTGACATAAGATATGTAAATTGTAAGCTCCAATGTGTAGTTTGGAGTGAGGTTTCAATAGACCTGGGACAATGTTTTGCGCACTAGAATCGTCGGCTGTGGTGACACTTGAGGGGGAAGCCGAACGAGGAAGTTTAAAGGTGAAAGTCGATGTAGGAGGAATAATAGAAAGTGAAGACGGAGGTTGATTATGAATACAGTGGTCTTGAGTGCTGTTAGATTTATGAGGACGGTTATCACTTCCCGGTTGCCCACACCGTGGAAGGGTTGTTCTGGAGGTGCCTGAAAATGAAATTGGATTATATGTGGTCTTAGTGACCTGAGAGCGTGACCGCAGTGCCCAAGGGACAACTGCTTGAGGTCGGCCACACACGACTTTTTTATGGGTAATTTTCGTGTTAGCTCCGTACCTGTTGAGACCATGCCTCCAGAGACTGATATACGTAGGATAAGGCGAGATGTGCATGTTTAGGGTCGACCTTTTCTAACCCCACCCCTCCTTGTGGGAAGGCAGCATCGCTGTCATGCTGGTTATCTGAAGGAAACACCTTACTGCTGTCACACCTCTGTACAGTCAGCAGTACGACTTCGACCTTAGGTTTGTTGCTTTTAGTCTTACTGCTCTTCAACCGACCTGTCTGATATGGTAGGACCTTGAGGAACGGTCGTTCCAGCCAGTATATCTCGGTTGCTTCATCACGATAGGCAAGCTCGATCACCACGTCAATGTAGCAACAACGGTCGGGTCAGAGCTTATGACAAACTGTCATCTGCTTTTGCAACCTCAAGTAGTGTCCGTCAAGGCTGTCCACTTTCTCCATTTTTATTAGTTTCCTTATACACCTACTGCTGGAAATAACGTTCTCGTCGGCTGAATTCTCGAGCAGTGATCTCTTTCCAGAAGACCTACTTATCGACTTATAATACAGAGATGACGTAGTACAGTTTGGTGAAGAGCTGATAAAATGCAGTGTTTAGGTAGCACTGATCAACAATTTCAGGATGTTTGGGGTGCGTTTCTCCCCCTCTAAATGCGAATCGCTATTTCATGACTGACCTGCGTCAATACCTGAATTAAAGATGGGGAGTGAAGTAGTCGAACGCGTCGACGTCGATTACCTTGGAAGTTTGATCAACCAGAATGGGTTGCTGTCTGAGCAAATCTCTGCACGGACTCAAAAAGCTCGTTCGGCATATGCCAGCTTATGTCACCTAAGGCGAAGGAGAAATATCCGCATATCAATTACAGGACGGGTATACTGCGTGGCAGTTCGTTGTGTTCTAACTTACGGCTGGCCATTAAGATTAGAGGATACTAGTAATTGATCACAGATGTTTTAGAAATATTGTCAGCATCTGCTGGGATCATCGGGTAAGTAATAGTGAGGTTGGACGCAGGGTATTAGGGAATGACGGTAATTCAGTTGATGGGGTGGTTAATATTTATCGACTGAGATGCCTGGGCCACGTAGTACGTATCCCTAACTACCGACTACTACAGTATGCAATGCTGACTAGTGCCGGTAACGGATGGTGGAAAGTTAGGGGCATCAGTCCATAAAGTCAATAACTTCTGGTCTGAGCCACGTTGGTAGATGCAGACTACTTGGCTGGAGTCCGTACGACTATCATAACCAATGGTTGGAGTCTCTGTGAGATATGGCTCAGGACCTATCACAATGGTGTAGGTGTATACACTCTTTGTCTTCTCTAAGACCATGGGATTACCATTACTTTACACCTTTCTTTATACGAAGCAATTCTCTCTCCCTGTATCATATCGTTGTATGAAATTTTTTTAATACCACTGAATTAACTGCTTCGATAAATTTTGCGTTCGTCATGCCGTGCTAATGAAGTATGGAAACTTGGACCGATGTACATATGTGCCTGGCACTATGTCGTAGTTAACCGATCGTTATTACAATTAAACTTAGTGATTACCTCATCCAACATTAATCATACATTAAAAAAAAAATAACATAAAAAGCAACTACGGTTCAAATTCATTCCCGCCCATCTTCATACAATTAAAATATTTTTCTCATCCCTTCCTCCTTTACATTCATTAAAAAAATGGTATCGTTTATATTAGTTTTTTAATCAAATTTTTAGATCTAATATACTATTAGAATAGAACATTCCTACAGACTTTGTTTAAATTGGAGTATTACAGAGTTATCCTACAAAGACTGTGATTTCAATTCATAAATTAGTGATATAAAGTAACTTAAGAAAATTGATTATTCTAAACCAGTGAAACAAATCTAACAATTTTTTTACCATTAAGTAATGATTCGAGCAATACAAGGGTCTGCTACTTGATGTATTGAACACATATTTGGTTAACATTTGAAACTACTGCAGCATCTTCTAATATACCCTCAAAATTTATGATTAGAGGTACAGAAAAAAAACTGTCTTAATGTTGGACACAAACGATGGAAATTATGTACCATATCAAATATACAGATTCAGGGTGTTCGATTTGTTTTAAGAAGTAAAAAGGTACCATAATAAGAAGTTCAGTCGTTATGTCAAGATTAAATTCATTAGTGATGTAACTAGCATCACTGTGAATATATCAAATCTGGTTACAGAGAACCTAACAGTAGCATATTTTAAGAGATGAAATGACATTTTGAATCTGCACGTGTTCATCTGCTACCATGAAATTAAAATGGTTTAAAGAATATCGAAATTCTATCGACTTCTGACACAAAAGTATGCAAGCCCTGAACCAAATAATAATGAATAAACCTCACACTACAAAGAGACCAAAATAAACTGAGTAACAAGAAAATCCTTATAAACACTTAAAAACAAAATCACATGTGTCATTCTTCCACATTATCTTGCATTGAATCATTGCATCAAATTAATGAAGTGGAAGTGTGACGACGGACTACCGGTGAACTCGAGGAAGCTGTAGGAGACTCAGAAGGAGCCGAAGACGTTCCATCCAATCACTTTTCGGAATATTCTAGAATTCCCACGTGTAGCTTTCCGATTGGATAATGCTAATAACCCCCTGTATGCGGATTGGAGAAATGTAATGATGATTTTGTTCTCACTAAAAACTATAAATACCTGACAATTTTGTACTATGATTGACACTGTTTAGAATAATATTCCTTTCGTTAGTTTTCTGCCTTTTTATTGCGACTTGGAAGGGTTTTGGTGTTCTAGTGTTCTGTTATACGCGGTATATCAAGAAATCAACTTTAAAGATATAACAGGAAGTCATATACTTGATTTTTTTCATCATCACCTCTATGTTTAGTAAAATTAGTTTCTTCAATAATAAAGAAAATATATTGACAAAAAGTCACTCCATATTATTATTATTATTATTCACATAAGTAACCGACCTTTTTTGAAGTTGTTTTAATGTTTGTTCAGCAACATTTAATTTTTTCTGATTTTCACCAACGGAATTTTTCTCCGAAAAACTTGATGCATGGTAGAACCAATGAGAAAAGCCCACAAACGAAACGCATAACAATCCTATTGACAATGTGACTAGAGAAACATTTCCTGACACAAGTACTGGCTCTGTAAGTGAAATAGTTGAATTACGCAATGAACAACTGGCAAAAAACATTAGGAATTCTGTCGTCTACTAAAAATATGCTGGGAATGTGAAAATGATTGTGGGGGAAGATCTAACGCTGTATGCAATAAAAAAGCCAAACATTCTACCTTAATTTATGAAAGATACTTGTACGACATCAACTTTGAATCGATGGTATTTACGTTGTTTACGTGGACCGTGGTGATCGGGATAACCTAATAGTGATGACTCAACCCAGACAGATTGGCTGGAACACATGTCGCTTTAGGCCCTACCATACCAGGTAGGTCGTTTGGAGAACGGTAAAACCAAAAGCAGCAACACAAAACCCAAGGGCGTAGTCGTACTCCTGACTGTAGAGAGGTGTGACAGCAATAAGGTGTTCCCCTGGGACAACTAGCATCTCCAGACATGACGACTACTAACGACGGAAAGAATGGGTTAGAAAAGGTCGATCCTAAAAATATCACACCTCACTTTACCCCACGGATTTCCGTCTCTGGTGGTAAGGTCTTTAGAAGTGCGCAGCTAACATATAGAAAACTCCCCATAAAGAAGACGTGCACAACTGACCTTAAGCAGTTGTCCCTCGGGTTCTGCGGTAACGCTACTAAATAGCCAAGACTACCACTGATTCGCCTTCTTTATCAGGTCCATCAACGAAAAATATCCTTCAGACGTATGTGCAAACGGGAAGTCACAACCGCCCTTATACCTCTTACAGAACCCGAGATTATCCAGTTGACGATCGAATTTCTCCCATACCACTTAATAATTCTTCAATCTACATGACTAACCCTTGACATTCATCTTCATAAACACGCCCCACCAATGATTTGAATCCACCAAATTTTATTCCTGATCTCCTGAAATTACGCTCCAAACTACATGTTAAAGCTTTTGATGTTCAAACATGGTCAGATAGAACGATAGGATTTTTTAGCTAAGATTCTAGAATCGCGTGCCATCGATGTATTTTGAGTCTCCGAAATGCGCATACAGATCCTAAGTACAGACCCTCATTTGACCTCACCTTGTCAATACACAAAACCAGCACGATTAGCCCATCGAATATCTAGAGACCGCACTGTCTGATGGACTAAGCCGTGAGACTTTTACGGATGGTAGTCCAGTTTTAGCAGTTGGATTAACTGAGATCTTATTTATTCATTTGAACACATAAATATTGGTACAAAAGGGCACCAAATATATATGCGTCACACAATAATAATGAAAATTGGAAGAGAAGAAGGGAAAAAGGAAAGGTAAGGAGCGTTAAAAAAAGAACAATAACGAAAAGATTAGTGAAGGGTAGTGTAATAATAATAATAACAATAATAATGGGGAAACAAAAACGTACATTCAGAAAGGATCTTTCAGATAAGGAAGAAACAACCACTCTTTTATGCAGAAAGTAAAGAAGGTTACAGCAGGATCGCCACTGGCTTCTATTCTGAGCCATATCTGATAACGTTTCTAGCCATTGTGTAGCACCATCTTTCGGACCCCAACCAGGCAGTCGTGAAGGACCAACACAAGCCAGTCCTTTGCAGCTTTCCTTCATACCACGACACCATGTCATATACTGACCACCTCTCCGCTTTTTCCAACCAGTCTCAGAGTCGGCAAATAATGCACGACGTGGAATTCTCTGGGACGACATTCGGAGAACATGTCCAAGCCACCGAAGTCAGTGTTTCAAGATGGTGACACTAATTGCATTATCGTCTCTGTGCCCGAACCTCTGTATTACTAACATGGTGTTGCCACTGGATATCAGCAATCCTTCGGAGACAGCGATGATCGTACACAGAGAGTCGTCTAACGACCTCAACTCGAAGAGACCAGGTTTCACAAGCATAGAGCAAAACTGCTCTCACCGATGCGTTGTAGATCCGACCTTCTACAGCAAGACTAACATCACGAAGGCGCCAAAGATGGCCCAGATTGGCATCACTAACACCACCAGCGGCACTTATGCAGCTACCCAGATACACGAACTTCTCGACTACTTCTATCTGCTCACTATTCAGGGTGAGTACAAGATTAGAATCCCGCCAGTCTTGTAGAAGTACTTTGCACTTCGAAGGTGCAAATCATATACCATACCTGCGGACACTGATTGCTAACTGATTAAGTGCGGATTGCATGGCTTGGGCGTTATCGCACAGTAAGACAATATCATCCGCATATTCAAGGTCAATAAGTCTTTCTCCAGACAACAGACCCACACCGCCATTACTTACATCCATCAGAGCTGTTTCCAGAATGTCATCGATGGCAAAGTTGAGGAGGAATGGTGAGATTGGGCAACCCCGCCTAACTCCACTGCTCGAATGGAACAATGGAGAGGTGGTTGTACACCCTCGTCTATATATAGGGCCTTTAGGATGTTAATAAATTTTTCAGGCACACCTTTCTTCAATAGATAATCCAAGAGAACAGTCCTATCCAACGAATCGAAGGCAGTCCTGATGTCAAGAAACACTACGATTGTTGGCCTTTGATAAGTATGGCGGTGTTCTAACATTTGGCGGAGGGTGAAGATATGGTCGATACATCCTCGACCAGAACGAAACCCAGCCCGCTCTTCGCGAGTCAATCTTTCTCAGGTTTTGAACAATCTACGAAGTATGACGGAAGCCAATAGCTTGGACGCAATCGGAAGTAGACAACTATCGACTCATTCCATTGGTTGGTACACTTTCTAGTTCTCAGACCTTTGTAAACAACGCCGTCAGTTGCTTAGTCAAAAAGTCACCACCATCTTTAAAAAGAGCCGGAGGTAAGTTATCTGGGCCAGGTGATTTGTAGCGTTTCAAGAGTTGGAGTTCCTTGCGGACCTCCGCCTCATTTGGTGGATCAGTCATCACCGGCTATGGGGGGCAGGACAATCTGACCGATGTTGCCGGAGCAGCAGGCCAGTTGAACTGCCCTTCGAAGAATTCTGCCTATCGTCACAGACGATGGATGTTGGTGATTGGCGTGATGAAGTTGCAACCAATGCTCATCTATAATTTTCGGTGGAATAGTAGCTAGCCTAGAAGCTAGCTCGGTTCGATACTTATTTGCAACAGAAGTTGCAACCAGCTTGCTAACATCAATCCGTTGGTGGCGGTCACTTCGTTGTCCACTGAAAAGTAAGGTAAGATTGGCGCAGACCAAGACATGGTCAGAGTCCAGATAGGTACTCCAAAAGGAGCGGCAGTCTTGTACACAACCACGCCAGCGGTAGCTGATCGTGATGTGATCAATCTGGGTCCAGGTTTGAGATGCAGAGAGAGGACGCCATGTGGCATATCGGCGATGACTGTGCCGAAAGTTAGTGCTAGCCAGAAACAGGTTGTGGTTTGTGCACAGTTGCAGTAGACGGTCCCCGTTATCCGTCCTGCGACCAACAAGTCCCCATCGGCCACCTAAACGACTCTCTTCTGTGTCTAAGACGCCCGGCCTGAGCATCCAAGTCTCCGGCTAGTACTACAATATCTGTCGAACGCACTTTCTGGAGAAGAACAGATAACTGGTGGTAGAACTCATCCTTGATTGCATCTGGGCTGCAATCCCGGAGCGTAGGCGGAGATGACGAAAAGACATCGTTTCGCACGCCGATTTCTCCTCACTTTGATGGAACTCTCTAATCTAACAGCACATAACCGGCTGTTAATGGGGATCCAATCGATTAGTGCTGCCTCAGCTCTAGCGCTTAGTGCGACACCAACACCAACGAGACCAGATGAAGATGCCACAGGGTCTCCGGATAAACGCACATAAAACAAGCTTTTCGAAGCGACAGATGGAGAGTGAATTTGTAGTGCTTCACCAGAGTATTGAATACGGGTCTCGAATAGACAACAAAACATCGATATTAAGGTTTTCCAAGGACATAGCCAGCCCTATCTGTTGTCGGACCTGCATAAGTGTGCGAAGGTTGAAGGCAGCCAGTTTGAATGGTGCACGTGGTTTCAGAAAAACTGCTTCAGTACCCATATTCGGTGGTAGCATACAATTTTCAACCAGGCAGTGACTCGAAAACGTTTAGCTAGAACCGAATTTCCATCATAGGCGAGCTGCTGTATAAGTCGAAAAATAAAGATAGAGTGAGAATAAAAGGGAGTGAATAAATGACGTAGTAAATAATAATAATAATGATAATAATAATAAAAACAATAGTAATAATAATAATGTGTATCGTTTGATTGTTAATTGAAGCAAGAAAAGAATTTTCCATAATTATCGACAGTTCATCATCTTTTGCCCCCCAAATGCCCTGGTGTGGCCGAGAGTAGGGTGGGCTCGCCCTCCCTCTCGAAATGCTCTCACACGGCCACGCGTATACAGCCTCTGCCAGGTAAGTCCTACTCACTGCCTTCTCGCACCACGGGTGTTGTTTACGAAAATGAGAGGATGAAAAGCAAATGTCAGGCACTTTAACCGGATCCCAAACCAATGGTGCACATGGGCTCCAGTATCCTGAGTGAACAAATGGCGTATGAACCAATCGTTGGTCACCGGCTACCATGGGACTGCATCTCCTCACGATGCTCCACTGCCTTGTGGGTTAGACCTTTAGGTCAAAGGCTAGTGGTGTGGCCCCATAAGAAAATCACCTGCTTCGATCTGGACACCCGGGCAGTATCACAGCTTTCACACAAATATGATGAACTGAGATCTTAGCTAAACTCTATGGACTGTGCGTAATCCTATCCGACTGGTTTTGATCTCTAATCATTCCAGTTTTCAAGGAAGAACACAAACCGACTAGTAACAATCACACAGAAACCAGTTTAATTAATATGGGGTCTAAAATATCCTCAATAGTACTTTGACATCTATTGAAAAGCCGTGGCCAGTGGATCTAAATCGTGTTGGATGTGCTAAAGGTGCCCATTGATTGTAATGGAATATGGTCGCGCAATATTGTAGATTGACTGGAGTTAGACTTGCACACCACTGAATCTTGACTCATTGTTTTAGAGGTCAAACATTGGTGAGCGAGAGTGAAAGTCTTAGGTTTGATTCCCAGTTTCAAGGTCGTGGTTTCGCACTGCTGAGGACCTCCACAGTAGCACGAATCAGCCCTCCTGTGCTTTCAGGTTTACGACGGTTGTACAGCTTAGATTGATTCGTGATCATAATAATTTGTTTGTTTTCAGATAAAAAACATTTCTAGTAGTAAATGCACAAAGGACAATATACCGGAGTTTTCCACCGTTACGTAATCACTTTCTATACGTGATATACGATTATGAGAATGCAATTTTTAAAAAATGGAGATTCATTGATCCATATGTGAAAAACATAATAGAAAATTCAAGTGTATTTCAATTACTATTTGTAGCGAAAGGCTTATGATGCTTCAAATATCCTGTTTGTTATGAACACTTACAGCACAGACACAACCAATCACTAACGTCACATATAATTATTTTGCTGCACAAATGTGAACGCACCAAGTACGATGATCAAATTAATTTTCTTTCACCAGCTACTCACAAACGAATTAGTGGAAAATATTGATTGATTTGGAAGGAAATACAATGTTACATAATCAATTTGGTAACTGTGATTAGGTAATATGAAGAACATTTACCGATTAGGTTATTACATTTATAAAACATAAAAAGAGAACGAAATATAAATTGCGCAGAATAAGGAGATTGTCAATATATAGGTCAAAAGGTTAAAAGAGAATGACAACTTATAAGTACATATTAATGGCAGGAATTAAAATTTCCAAGTGACAAACTGACAAATATCTTTCGCAATCCAATTATTTGATTGAAGTCAATAAATAGTGATTTAAGATAGCTTAATAAATTTGAATTCACTCCTTTACTAACTACTTTATACACACTTTGTATTTCCATGTGGAAGAACACTTTCTAACCACTGGTTACTTCAGAGAGCAGTTTGTTTGAGGTAACAGAAGTTAAGCAGTTGCGAAGATCGCTTTTAACTCAGTACTGATTACCTGGATAATTCTTACAACTTTATCTCTAAAACTGAGGTGGAAAAAGATGCGATTATTCCAGCTTCATCTTGCGCAACACTAGCACAATTTTAAAAAGTTTTTCTTATGTATCTTCGTAATTTTTCACCCATAATTCGTTGAATTATGAGATCGAGAAAATGGGGAATCTCACTGTGTTCATATTTTACCATAAATTTGTACAAAATAGCCTGGATACAGTTCTATAAATACCAACTAACGAAAAACCCCGAAAACCAATGGATAAATCTTACAGTTGAAAACTGGAAAGAATCAGGTTTTTGAAATTGAGATGTCATAGTTTAAGACCAATAGAATAAACTCAATAGTATCAATGAAAAATATTGTAAGTTGACGTACTTTTTACCTATACAAAAATTAAGAGAAATCACTCAGAACGTTGAAGATTATTTATTCGGTTAATTAATGTAGGCTTGTGATCTTGAAAACTAAACGTGCTCTCTTTTTATTATATTTGATAGTTTCAATGAAGACGTAGGAAATGACCACAACAGGTTGTGATTAAATACAAGCAATCCCTTGAAATTTACTGGTGGTAAATGCCTCACTCCAATAAACTAGTAAACTATACTTGGTTGGATTAAATATGTTCAAACCAAAAGCTGATTAGTGTTTATGGATGCAGATATATGTCCATTTTCTCAGATGATCGATAAAAAAATGAAAAATAAAGCAATTAACAAATTTACCTACTATAATTTTCTGTAAATCTAGCTATGGATGTAAGTCAGTAATTTATGACATTCAAAAAGTTTCAGACAGTCAGTCATAATCGAAGTCTGGCCTGACACAAGTGTACATTATTCCAATTTGCCACACCTTAATAATATGGCGCAATGAAATTGTTGAGATCAACACCAAAGAAGTAGAAATGATAGTAACATAAACGATAGTAAATAAAATTAAGCGTAGAGAATGTGGTTTGAAAAAAAGAATGAATTTTGGAAACAAAAAGTATGGAATAATAGTGAAATGCAAAATCCAGAAGAAAGTAAATTTAGTCCTCTTGACCCACTTAGACCGATTCCGAGGCACGTCTTTCAATACCCCAAACCACTGATCACAGTTTTCTCACAGACCCCGACCAAGCAGTTTGTACTTAATATCAAGGCCTAAACTAACAGTCAATTAGTTATTGAGTTGATTTCATATATTTGTTCAACTGCTCCTAGGTTTTTTCTAGTCTGATCCTACATCAACTACAATTTCCTGCTGAAATGGTAGTTGGGTCTCAATGGATGAGTATTCATTTTAAATATAATCTGAAATATAATACTCTACTGAAATCTAAACATCAATAATAAAGACAACAGAATCATGTAGTTCTATAGTTGAAACCATATTGATGCACCACGAAAAATAAGAAAATTTGAGTGTAGGGACACTCTGAATTTGAGAACCAATAAAACTACTCGATGGCTCAAACTTAATTAGGTGAAGCGGGGCGAAAACCTGAAAGTTAAATGCCTTAATCAATAAACCACCGTTGCATAATAAGCAGAACTAGCTGATGTTGCGTGAAAAAGCGACCAATTTTGACATTCACATTATCCTAACGTTTCATTCCTACAGATTTCAGAAATGCAAAATCACTCGACTTTGATTGAGATTAACCCTGAGAAATGGTGTACAACCCTTGAGGACATAGGATCGCTAATATCGAAGTTAAATGGTAGGTCATACACGTGAGACTAAGTCACTTAACCTAGTGATTTAGCCCTAATGACTAGAATACATAACTCAAGTTACTTAAAGTAATGCGCGTCACGGAAACCTCTACCAAGAGATAGTGTAGTGGACGACACTCACAGAAATGTTTTTAAGTAGTATGTGTCGGGACACGGAGTCGAAGTTTCAAGAATTTTCGGGCAAAGAAAAGTTTCAGTGCATCCTAAGCACGGTGTTAGTAAAACACTTGGGGGCCAGTCGAGAAGACAGTTCGGAATGTAGAACACCGAAAGATGCAAATAGATGATTGAAGGCTATATATATGTATATTTAATGTAAATACTTTGCAAATTCTTTCGATAGACATACATTCCTCCTGCTTATTATCGTGTTTTACAACAGCATCCGGATGATTATTGATACACTTCGAAGGTTTTCGATCACTGTAACTTCACATTTTATAGTCTGGTTTTCGAGATGTGACCATCTCACATAGGATTTACTGTACTAATATATTTACTCTTCTACACAACTCTATAACTCAACAGGTTACTGAAATGTATTGTGACTCAAAATACTAGATACATGACCTCACGTTTACAAACATTTTGAAGTGGAAATGACATTTAAGCCATAAATAAATTGAAAGGAGTGATTTAGCTATGACATATCGATATGATGCTGATCGACTAATAACCAGTTAAATATACATCGTCGAAGTAATGAACTACTACGAATGTACTAATATGTAAGCTTTTACATTCTTCAATAATCTGGACAACGCTAAGTAACTAGTAGTACTCATTTGAACAAGAATTGGAGTTGAAGTGCGAGTGGTGTCTTAACAGTTGAAGTGTTCGATTTATGCCACTAAGCACCTGGTTCAAAATCCGCCCCACCTTCTTCGGTTAGATCGATCGGGCAGTATCATTAGCCTTCACACTTAAACAGTGGGTTACATCCAAGAATCTGGTGAGTGATTTATTTGTTTATATCGTAATGATGAGTTCAACTTCAAAGGAGTTAGATATTTTCAGTACCCTACGAAAGTATCATAAATGATATCCAGCTATCTACACCAAACGTCAGATGAAAAATCATAAAACCAATCTAAGTTAACGATAAAATTCACTAACGTCTTGGAGGTCCAAACAGAATGATATCCAAAGCACGAAGCATCAATTTCTTCTTGTGTATCGGATTCTGAATCCCCAGGACATCGGTTAAGTAGCTCATATTTTGCATAGCCAAGCTGTAAAAATGATAAAGAAAAATATTCTGATCCATGTCATATCAGCTTGAAAACTAATCAAGTCCAATTTGATCCTACATAAACGACCACACATAATTATTTTAGGGGGAAAACGGAAAAAATCTGCTTTATATGAAGTAAGCGATTGTCAATTGTTCTCAGGAAAATTAAATACTGGTTGGTTGTCAACAAAAGTTCACAGAATAAATATTTTTAAATTAGACCCATTATTAAACAACTTACAACAGAACTGTAATGTTTCTTTTTAAAGTCAGCAAAATTAAACAACTAGAATAAAAACAACCTTGAGATAATAAAACATACGTTGATACAATATTTGAGACAGTCAACAATTAGTATGCTGACAACAAAATCAACATTGTTTTTCGATCTCTTCGAATTGTAGTATTTTGGTCATCAAAAAGGTTTAAAAGTGTCACTGTACACTAAAATTACAATGATTGATCATGTATGTACATGTTTAATGGAAATAACACATTTTCTAAATATATTTTAAACCGAATGGTAAATATACCAGACTTTGAGTTACTTGGAGGTCAAGAAAGATATTTCCCTAAAGTAAACAATGAGAAAGATTCGAGCATTAGATTACCGGTGTTTTTATATACAATATTTGCGTTGAAGGCGCTAGTTCATCCTACAATCTTGAGCACAAAACACTTAGTTCGTACAAAATGGTAATCCGAAATTAATAAACATGGAGGTTGCTTTATTTGAATAACATAAACTTGACAAACAACTCATTTCGCTAAATGAGGCCAACTTGAAGTGATCATTTCTCCCGCAATTAATAACTCAACGAATATTTCTACATAACAACGATTAGGAGAAATGTTGGGCAAAATTCATGAAGATTATGAAGATCAGTGTATATTATTTTAAAGAAATGTGTTCGAATTATTGGTAAAGTATGAAATTCTAATTCCACTGGAAAAACCTGCGTCAAAAGCAAGACTGACTACAACAATTACATGAAGAATAAAATGGAGAAAACAGTTCTCATTTGCACTCATAATAAAAATAATACACAAATTTTTTAATGTAAATACAATAATGACGCAAAATAATATGGATTTTAAGAGGGCACTGTGCATACGACTGTAAAGACATACTGAACACATGATTCCTGCACATAAATAATGAAATATAAGTCCTGATGAAATTTTATCCAAATCATACTTCGTAAAAAAAATTAATATTGGAAATTTACCGTGGTAATGAACGACCATCTAAATTATGTTGACGAAATAAATCAACGTACTGAGGGAGATCCACTAGACTAACTAACCACTGGGTAGTATCTCTCACAGTCCAGTTGAATGCTAGAGGTAAAAAAATAATTTAAGAATATCGGACATATTAATAATGACTGCAATAAGCGTTATATTTACTAAAGAAGAAAAGAGGAATATGGATGTCTAACCGTTATGCTGACCATTTTTCTTTACAGAACAACGAAGAACCTCCAAATATTCGTAATTATGCAATGAGAACGTTTTATTAAAGTGAACATAAATTAGAATGAATTCCGAAGTCAACTCACTATCTCCAATAATTAAGACGTATGATAAAAACTGTCAACTGAAGTTTTACACTTAACTTTTAAATCTTTGTTAGACACTTAGTGAAATATATCAACCAGACCTCTTAAATGATTAAAATTATTGTAAAGAATGAAGCTAATTAACACAACTGAGAAAATTAGATATCTTTGGTAACTTTATCGTATTATTCTACTTGTTATACAATGTTTGTAAAATCCTCAATATCTTAAGTTCATTAATCCTAGCAATGAAACCCGACATAACTTTTCAACCAGAAACGACTGTCATCTAGAGGGATTTACAGACAAATATCCAGTAACTTAGCCCCCATATTGGTAGCCTAATATTAAAACACAAAAATACTCGCGAAGTAGTAATTAATTTTTCACCTATTCAGAGTATGATTTTAATGACAGAAAAACATTGAACAATTAATAACATAAATAATCATGACCTCAAAGGAGAGGAATAAAGGTGATAATAAGAGTACGATTACTTAGTAAAAACTTAATACATCGTAAACAGTTATAAAGACAATGCACAACTCAACAAAAATGGCAACTGTTAGAGACGTAGGATCATTTCAACAATTCTACCAATAAAAAATTGAAAGAGCCAAATTACCAGGATTATTTCTCCACATCTGCCACAAGTCTGTAAGACTAATAAGAGGATCATCGCTGTTTAACATACGTGATTTCTTGGCAGCATCGCCCGAATTGAATTCTTTCCTTAAAAACTAAAATCAATCGTAGTTTGAATTTTAAAAGGTGCATACAGTTTCAGACAGTAAAAACATGTGAAGAAACTGTAGCTAAATAGAAAAGCAAACATCTGAAAGCTTAGTAAAATTTATTTGTTTATTTATTTGAACACATAGTAAAAGGACTACACAGAATGTAGTCTATAGCAAAAAAGGTTAGACGAAGGATTACCCTTAGTCGTTAACATTACACCTAATGATAACATGCACTGATTAACATTTAGTGAGACATTTGTACGCGTCTTACGGGATTCGTGATAAAATGTAAACCTACACCTCAAACATATTTGCAAAACATATGTATTATCTAGAGAACTGTATGGATGCATTAGAACAAGTGAATAGATATAATGTGTTGTGCACAAACGAGTACAATCCTTTTGGGAGATTAATGCAATAGCTTGAAAACCCAAAGTTTCCAACAAAACAGAAAGAAATCAAAGATCATAATATGTTAGGAAGAACGAGAAACAAGTGAATAAAAAACATACATTCCACAATATTCTTACACATTTACATCAACGTATTCGAAATCAACTAACGGTACTGTCTCTGATTAACGACTTATAACGATTTTGCCAGCTTCACAAAAGAAGCCTGCTACTATCTAAATTGTCCTGATCGAAAGTCAAACTTATTTTAATTTTTGTTTTTATTGCAGCAAGACACAAAAATTAGCTACAAAAATAATGTAATTCACCAAACGTATGTTCATATGCTTGAGTTTAAGTCTGACTTGTGTAACGGCTAGAGGTGCTGCTTGATTTTCCAAGTTGAAGTGGATGGATGTTAAAACCTGTAATCACTTAATAGTTTGAAACTGAATGCTTTAACCACTATGCCACTTCTAGACAGTCTAGTACATCAGTTTAGTTAAATAAAACGGTAGAACTGAGAAATCTTGAGAAATTGACGAGTTACATATGGTGTACTAGACAGATAAAACTTTAGAAGGGACCTACATCAACTATATTACGTACCTATTCATTCCAAGTCAGTTTAAATGAGGTCAAATTTGATAAATGGTATAACCAGTCAACATAAAAGGAGTTATGAACAATTACTAGTTGTCATTTAGGATATTTACAAAAAACTAAACCACCTCTTTAAAAAAACCGCCAAGATAGCCCGAAAGGAAACAGATCGTAGATAATCAAATAAAAAGGCGACGATCCATAAAAGTTCCTGAGTCTAGGGTTGCATCGTGACACTAAATATCGGTCTCCTTTCAATATTTTAGATGCTGCAAAGTAGGGTTTGAACAACTTAACTGGTATGTCTGCGGGGTCAATGAGTTATAAACAACACAACAGCTGCCACAAACGCCCGTCGATCTCGGTTGCCACACCACGTCAATGCAACATAAAATTACCAAGACCCATACCAAAGTAGCAATAACAGCACTAATGGTGAAAAATACTTGGCGAACGAATTCGTGAATAAAAAAATATGAAGTGGTCTCTAAACTCGGCATAGAAGTACAGACAAAGAGTGGGTGCATCTGCGCCACTGACTAATAAGGAATCACGTCACCTAACGTCTCCAACTACTATTCACAGCTGTCGCAGACTCCGACCAGGTAGTCTGCATCTACTGAAATGGCTCATACCAACAGTTAATGACTTCATGAACTGATCCTATATCTAAACTTCAACCCTATTCCTATACAGCCGACATCAGACGTCGAGGTAGGTTTTTTAAACTAAATCACCAGCTACTTGAATGTAAGCGAAATTCTAAGTGGATGATAATAATACTACTCGGTTGCCTAAACTAGGTTACTTGAAGAGGAGTTTGGACCTGGGATATAGTTGTTGAAAGTAAGACGCCTTAACCACAAAGTCATTTCCCACTAACTACGACCATACAGTTTGATCTGAGCAGGGTCGTTATACTAAGCAAAACCTGTGCCTCAAAGACACGTCTATAACCTTGTACTCAGCGAATGAGTAGGACCAGTTTAAAAAAGGACATAATTTAAGAACTAGCCTCAGAAACAGATAAGAAGTCTCCTTTTTCTTGGCATTTTCTAGGCATTCGGAAATCAATTGACAGCCAAGTACTTCCAAATATATGCCATTCCAAATGCAAAACACATGTTTTTAAGTGATGAATAAACCAGGTAGTTTGCAGTTGTATATTTAAGTTAGATGCAATACTTCAATGTGAAGAATAATGTGCTTAATTTAAATTCAACCACTTTATGGAAATAAACAAAGCACCACGGTTCAGAGTACTATACATCAGAGCAACGAAAGGGTGATTATTTCCAATTAAGGAACACAAGCTTCGAAATTCGCACAATACTATGGAGTTTTCAAACCCGCAACTCGATTTAAATACATGTGAAGCCACTTACAAATGTTCTGAATTAACTTTTGATAGTTCTCCTAACAGCAAAAAACAAACCGCAACATGACAAGTAAGCACGAAAATGTTTATTTCTGCTGACCCTTAGGATTAATTAGTCATAAATATAATATAAAATTCCACGAGTGGAGACTGAGCGCTTTTCATTTCCTACGAGGCTTTTGTTGTCGTATAACACAAAGTAAACACATTCTGAATTGCCCTACCTTTTCAGTTTCGAAATGGTCGACTTCTCCATTTTTATCACCATCAAGATTCCGATGTAAGTCCTCAATTGCTTCATAAGATAATATCTTTGTGAAACAAGACAAGATTTCGTCAGTCGCACCGCATATATCACTACACATAGCCAAAGAAAACACTGTTAAAAATAATTACTGACTGAGGCTTACAACTGCAAGTGCAGAACATAATACCAAAAATATAACAAATCATGACTAAGGTAGCAACACTTTGCTGTTAATGATGTTTCTAGATGTTAAAAGGTGGATAATCACAGTCGCAGCAACCAATTCACGTAGAAACACAATTTTACAAGTGGAAGTAAAGACGTTCACGGCGTAGTTGCATCCATCCAATGAAGACGAACTGTAACGGCGACATTTAAAATACGAACAGATGATAAATTCATTGAATTGTTCTAACAAAGATATGAAATGAATGTTCATTCATTGCATTTTACTTAGCAGTCAAACTTTTTCATTTCTATACGACAGTTTTAACTGAAATTCTACCATATGTTTGCAGCCATTTTTTATTTATTCGATCATTCTCGTGTTAATGTCCATCACCCGCACTATTTTAAGACGATAGGAGTGTTTTTCTTCGCTTAGTAAATTTCATTATTTTAGTCTATTATTATGAATCAATACCAAAGTAGTTAGTTGCCGGAAATTATGAGCACATTGTTATTGTCGTATTTCTTAGCACTACTGATTCTAACAATTTGCAGTTTTCCAATTTTTCGGGCATCAATTTCTGGGTATTGTCGTACCTACTTTCTTTTTTGAAAACATCTGTTTGATAGCTGGACATTACAAGGTAAGCAGTTGTCAGCGCCTAGGCTGTCGACATTTCGTTGAAAGTTGCATGCAGCGTGACGAGTGTACAGGATAGTACCACGACGTTTTCACGCATCTTACGTCTACGGCTATCAAACGGATAGACAAAAGTGGTTGCGTGTGGTTTTTTCAGTAATGCTGCTTGGACGCAAATAGCTTGCTAACAGAGACCAGTTCCATGGTAAATGCTGCTAAAAACGAGATCGAGACACGTCGAACAGAACTTACTCTGTCGATACACAAATTGATGTGAAGTCACCTCAAATTATGATATTATTGGTCCACTTACATGGATTCAAAGATAAAAAGACTGAATTTAAAGAGGCTTATCCTGAATCAAAGTTCAAGGAGGGAAAATGTTCTGTCCCCTTGTTCTCAAAATGGTAGCCAGTAGGAAGCGCCTAGATACCTAAAAGCAAGGCTAGATTTGTTTCTAGCAGGAATAGTGAGTTGATTGACCGACCCGTCCATAGTCGTTTGGAATCTCGTAATGTTTTTGGTTTGACTGTCGTTGCTACCCTAGCGAAAGTTGATGAATGGGTACAGATCAAAAACTAGAAACGACATAATGCGACTAAAAACAAACTCTCAAAAAGGAGCCGAGAAATTGAGGACTGTTCGTAGTGACAGGTCAATTAACTTTCACGGAATCAAGGAGTGAGGTCTCAGAACCTAAAGCTCATGTTGATCATGAAATTGGGTTACTAAATCAGCTGATGCTCCAAATGCCCTGATACGGTCGAGGGTGTTGCTATTTCGCTTTCTCTCCTAAATTGCTTTCACATGCCTCGCATATACAGCAACAGTCAGGGAAGTTCCATTCACTGCCTTCTCGTGGCGGTGGTGTTGTTTACGAATAATCAGGTCTACTTTTACGATTAAGTAAAAAAAATGTTAATAACAGAAATGAGGTTAAATTTGTGTTCAAAAAGGGCTCACCAATTTCGTGCCTTAAGGTAACCCTCGTGCTGTTGATAGAAGAAACCAGAGAAGTAGTGAATAGGTCTTTATTTCGATCTTCGCGCAGTCACAGTGGAGCGTGGGATTATCTGTTCAGACAAACAAAGGCTCTCAACATTCAAGATAATAGGGAATATAACGCTTATGAAAAATAAGGAAGTGAATGAATACTTGAACAATACTGTTTTGGCATAAGCTTGGTTGTTTGGGGTCAACTCTTAACCAACCAACCTGAGCTGTTACATTAGCTTCCCCCTAGAATCGACTTCCGTAGGAACGTCGGTTCGATTAACCTATCTATCGAAAACACCTTAGTTCTATTTCTCATCCCAAGGGAAAATTATCAACTCGCTCACTATTTGACTTACAATCAGTGACGACTAACGCTGTCAACGATAGTCCATGGATGTCTCCTCATTTACTAGCTTGTCATCTTATTTTGTAGCATGTGATCTATTCTACAACTATCGCTGACGGTTTACTGCGTGCTTTCAAGAGAAAGAGTGTGAGAATGTGAAATAAGAATATCTGAGGAAGTGCCGCGAGCGGGCTACCCAACACCATGTTGGTGAGGTACGATTTCTCCATGCTCAGACCGGCTATCAGGTGTTTACTCACCTGCCTCTTTAGTCGCCCTCAAGTAAAAGGTAAAGAAGAATCTACTTCAAAGGTAATGGTGAAAACCAATCACACCTGAAGAACTGCTCCACTGCCTGCATAAAAATAATAAGATACAAAATGGAAATACAAAAATATAATTTATAATTGTTCGGTTCCACGTAAGTGATTGGCCTCCAGAAAGGATTGGTATTCTGGAAGAAAACAGACATAGTGTAGCCATCTTATGTACGAAAAGGTATGAACACAAAAAAAAACTTTTTCATAATGCATATATGTAAAAGTGTAAACTTGCTAGAAGTTGGACTCATTGTCAAACCCGATCAAATGTATGACCTTGGGCCTATGACGACCGCCTTTTATAACCAGGTACGTAACCAAGGGTGCATAGTTGTACTCCACAAAACGGAAAAGAATATACGGTTAAGGAGGAGAGAAAAATTGTGTAGATTATGAGGATTAAGTACAATTGTGTCAAATACTCTTTTCTGGTTTGATCTAAGTATGTATGATATATTGAAACAATATTTCGTCAATTCATCCAAGTAACAAATTTGTCTGCACCTTAGAAATGTGTAAGTCCTATTACTCATTAGTATTATATACGATTAATCGGTAAAAGGAAAGATTGCAGTCATTCGCCCGTGGTTTGATGTGGTCTAATGGCTAGGCACACGGTCTAGCATCCAGGAGGGCAGAGGTTCGAGTGCGTGTGGGGCTAGCGTTTTCGTTCACCAAAACCCCCTTCAATACGATGTTTGTTGGCCATATGTTGCTCAGATATGAGAGAAAGATAACAGGAGGACGGATTGATATGTCAAAGTGCCATATTGGAATAGTACAAGTTCTTTGTTTTTATTAATAATAATGCTATAGAAAAAAAAACTATGCATGTAAAAAGATAATTAAAACCGTTTGAACGAGGTAAAGGACCTACCAAGTCGATATGCACATGGGCAAAACGTGCATCTGGTTGCGAGAAAACACCTATGGGTGAATTTGTGTGACGATTAATCTTTGATTGTTGACATGCTGAACACTCTCTAACCCATTTGTGTACATCCTTCTGTAAATTCGGCCATATATATCTGGCATTGATTAGTTTTGTTGAAGCTTTCGCGCCAGGATGAGACAAAGAATGAAAGTTATTATATATCAACTTTCGCATATTTTTGGGAACGAAAGGTCGCGGCATTGCCTTGGTCGTGTCACAATAAATTAGAATACCATCGATAGGTGATGGGAATTGTTTTAAATTAAGACGTGAATTGTTTGTTTTAAGTAGGTTTCGCAATTCTAGGTCCTGCTCTTGTTCGTGTCTTAACGTCTCGAAGTTTACTGTAGACTGCTGTAGCACGTTCATTTCTAGTCTGGATAAAGCATCTGCCGCCTGATTGTCCTGACCTTTGACATGTCGGATATCGCTTGTGAACTGTGATATATAGTCAAGGTGTCGGACTTCTCGAGGTGAGTATTTATCGGCTCTCGCTTTTAATGCATTCGTCAGTGGTTTATGATCCCTAAAGACTATAAATTCCCTACCTTCTAACATGTGTCGGAAGTGTTTAATGGTCAGGTAGATTGCAAGAAGTTCTCGCCCGAAGGTAGAATACCTTGTTTCGGCTGGGGCGAGTCTTTTCGAGAAAAAAGCAATTGGTTTCCAGGCGTTTTTAACCAGTTGGTTAAGGGTACCGCCTACTGCTTTATCTGAAGCATCCACCATCAAAGCAAGTGGGGAAAGAGAATTCGGATATATCAACGTAGTTGCTTCAGCCAGTTTATCTTTAAGCTGTTTAATAGCTTCGATGGCGTCAGAAGACAGTTTGAATTCTTTTGGTTTTCCTTTAAGTGAATCTGTCAAAGGTTGCATTAATTATGCGCAACCTGGTATGAATCTGCGATAAAAGTTAATTAGGCCTAGAAAACTTCTCAGTTGTGTTAGAGAACTAGGTACGGGGTATTGTTTGATAGTATCCACTTCTTTTTTTATAGGTTTAATCCCTTCTGGGCTTATTGTGTGACCGAGAAATTCTAAAGTTTGAACACCGAAAACACACTTACTTTGATGTATGTTTATTCCATGTTCATCCAGTCTTTTCAACACTGCTTGTACATGCTGTTCGTGTGATTGCAAATCGGGGCTGGCAATTAACAAGTCGTCTATATACCCCTGCGCAAATGGCATATCTCGAAGTAGGTTATCTATGAATCTTTGAAATGTCTGTGCCGCATTTCTCAGGCCGAATGGCATGCGTACAAACTCGAATAAGCCAAAGGGTGTAGTAATAGCTGTCTTGGGAATATCTTCATCAGCCACCGGGATATTGTGATATGCCCTGACTAAGTCAATTTTAGTGAATATGTTCATACCCTGTAAACCGTTGGTGAAATCTTGGATATGAGGTATTGGGTACCTATCAGGTACGGTTTGACGGTTTAGGGCTCTGTAATCCCCGCACGGTCGCCAGTCACCTTCATTCTTCTTTGGGACCATATGCAAAGGGAATGCCCATTGACTATCAAAGGGACGGATGATACCCAGTTGAGCTTATCTGGTGCTAGTCTCCTGGGTTTTGCAAACACCGGTGCACCTTCGGTTTTGATAGTGTGACTCACTTTTAGTTTGTCTTTAGAAGGCTGTGGGTTTGGTTTAGTTAAGTTTGGAAATTCCGCGAGTATATCTTGGAATTTCGCTGTTGTTACTGGGGGAGTTTGAATCAAGTTAAGAGAGTTGATGTGACTTTCTTTGCCTTTTGTGTAATACGAAGTTTCTTTTAGTGTTAATCGCCGTTTCTTGGTGTCAACTAGAAATTCGTATCTCTCTAGAAAGTCCATCCCCAGTATTGCCAGATCTAGGTCGGCTACCGTGAAAACCCAAGGGAATTGCCTCCTGAACCCCAAATCTAGGGTTAACGTTTTCTGCCCAAATGTCGCAATTTTAGTTTTATTTGCAGCTTGAAGTGTAATTGATGATGTTTCTCGACTAA